TATGGCTCGTTTGGTTCGTGAGCTGGCTCGAGGTGGCTCATTATAGCTAACGGGCTAAAATTTTAATTCGGCTTGACTCATAACGAGCCGAGTCGAGCCGACCACGAATCGAGCGAGCTCACGAGTTTCGATTTTTTTTTCCAGCCTGAGGCTCTGAACGCCGGTACGATGATGATCTTGACGCATGCAATGCAAAAAGCGCTCATCAGGAATCCAGCCATCGCAACGGCAGCGTCACTTGTCGCAGAAGCTCCGTCCGTCGTCAGGCCCATATGCGATCCGAACGATTAGTACAGCCTACAGCGTCCTCTGCTCTTCCCCACGTTGGCTACACGCGCGCAGCCGGCCCGAAACATCCGGCGGTAGTGGGGGTGTGTACCCGCGTGCGCCACATTTCACCAACCGCGAGTGGTGGCCGTCGTGCAATCTGCGATCTGATTGCACGATCGCACGTTCGCCCGGAGAGAGCACGAGCAACGAACGGTACCGGCCTGCGGCCTGCGGGCGTCTGCTTCACGGTAGGCGCGCGATCGCATGGACACGGAACCACGTGCCCGTGCGAACCAAATCTACCCCGCTAGATTTTTCTTTTCGCTGCGCTGTTCATGGTGACGACTGACGATAGACACTACTGTACTAGGGTGGAAATGGCAAGATTCCCTGGGAACCATGATGCGGGCTTTTACTTTTCTTTGATTGGGTGTGGCCGTGTACTAGGCGAGACCGTGACAGATGACGTGGACTCCCTGAATCCGTGTTGTCTGTTCTTCGCTTGTTCTGTTGTCCCTTCGTTGGTTTGCTTACGTCCGTACGTTGTAACGGGTGTATAATTTGTTGGATAGTTAAGACGTCAATTAAATAATTTATAGCTTGACGATTTATTCAGCGATCATGATTTGTTCTAATACATCTTTGAATCAAACTCCATGTATTCGCCGACATGTCTTAGAATCATATTTCATAGCATCGTCCAATGCGAGTTCATCAGCACGGTCATAGAACGCCAAGGCATCATATAGAAATTTTAAAAAAGAGGGATGAACAAATCCTTTATCTTTAATATTAAGGGAGAGAGAGTGAGTGTGTCGGGGTGAGTGGTTAGGGTTTATGTCCGGCTTATATACTCGTGTGGGCTAGTTTTTATCATGGGGCTGAAACCACGAACCAATGGTGTAGATTTCGAACTGATAGTGATACATATATAAATTATTTCTATCGACTTTAATAGAAAACCGGCGACATGGACTTTGTGTCGAACTAATCATGGATTTCCTCTAGTGTCTTCATTCGTTTTTTTTTTGTGAGGAAGCCTTCGTTCAATTCAATTCCGATTTCGACTCTGGATGAGTGTCCGACGCCATGAACTACGACCAACGCTGAGGCACCTGATTCTCTGAATAACATGCCGCGGCGCAAAACCCCGGAAGAAGGAGCGGTGCCTTCTTGTTCGACTTTTTGATGCCGGACTGCTCGATCGGCGTGGTAGAGGAACGACGGCGTCAAACAGCCAAGTTTGCCTCTTGCAATTGCAAGATCATTAGGCGCAAACACATTAGGTCTTACCTTCCATGATCTCATGCATGACACCACCGAAATTCCCTGGTCCATATATGCTTTCCTTCCAAAAATCCCAGACGGCAAATGAGGAAACACATATTATGTGCAAATCATCGTAGTTCAACCACCAACACCGGACATCTCAATCCTCATCCTCAGTGTCCAGCTTCACCAATAGTGGTCCCGTTCGATTGTCTGAAAAAATAAGACAAAACACTGTAGCGACTGATTGTGTGAGAGAGAAATACTGTAGCGGCTGGAAGATGCACTGTAGTAATGTGAGGAGAAACAGCTGAACCAGCCGGCTGCCGAACGCCGCCACTGTCTCCGCGTCAGCGAGGTCTTACCAGCTCATCGCCTCCGAGTCCGCCGGCTTCACGCGCACAGCCCTCTCAAAGTAGTGCCCCGCCCTGCAAAGAGATAAGAGCTGGATAAGGCTATCTTCAACAACAACACCCAAAAGATAAGATATATTTGTTTTTTGGGCAGCGCTATAGACAAAAGCTTCAATACATATTCGACATCTTCTCCAACAACTAGACTCAAAAGAGAATCATTTCTGCAAATGGGTTTACATGAGAGAAGATGTCCATATTTGGGTTGTGCCTCTCAGGCAACCCAAAATAGATCTCATATTCTGTTGGAGACTGATTTTGAATCTTTTGTTGCTCATTTTATTTTAGGTTTAGGTGCTCATATGCGTTGTTTGTCGGAGACCAGCTGGATAACTGCGGCTGCGTTGGCAATTCGTAGAACAGTGTGTCTGTGTGGACGAGGGGACCTACCAATCGTGGTTGTTCTGCACGAGGTAGAAGAACTACGCAAATTTGGCGATATGATGAACGAATAGTTGGGCTCAGCGGCGACGGCCTGCTCGTATCTCTGCTGCGTCAGCGTGGTCCTCAGTCTCCAGCCCCGCCTCCACCGGCGCGACGAGGCTTCTTAGGACGTCCGAGTCACTCTGCTCCTCGGCGCGCGCTGGCCTGCATCGTGGAGGCCTCTGCGTCCCTCATCCTCGTCTTCCTCTGCCTCCATCTGCTGGATGTGGAAGAGCGCCGCCGCCGCTGCAGGGACCAAGACCAGCGCCTTAAGCACGTCGTATGGGGCCTCTCATGCCGGCGCAGGACACGATGCGGCGGCGACAGGAGAGACGAAGAGCGTCGACGCCGCCTGCTGCTTCGTTGTGGGGGACAACGCCAGCGGCAACATCACGCACCACTTGGCCCGCCGCTAAGCTCTGGATCCTTCCACCTTCGCTAACGTCAGCCTCGCCGGCCTCATCGCCATCCAACCCTTCTACGCCAGCGAGGAGCGCACGCTCGCTGAGCTGCGGCTCGTCGGCGCGCCCCCGTCCACGCGCAGGCCGAGAGCACCGAGCGCACCGATGCTCCTCCCATCCGCGTGTAGTACCGCACGCAGGACACCGATGCGGCTGCGACCTAAGGCGATGAATAGACGAACACCGTTGCGACGGCGACCCGGGGCATCGAATAGACGTATATTTTTCAGAAATGCTATACCACAAGTACGTGTTTTAGCAAAAAAAAAAATGGATTTTTTACGTGCATGGAGGCACCCGTCCGTCCTCCGACGTGCATGGAGGCACCACGCCGCGCTGCTGCTGCTGCTGCCTGCTGCCCCGCGCGGACCCGCAATCCTCCCAGCCGGAGGCGGACGAGGCGCAGCTGCTGCTCCAGATCAAGCGCGCGTGGGGCGACCCGGCCGTGCTCGCCGGATGGAACGCCTCGGCCGTGGGCGCACGCTGCGCGTGGCCATATATGACGTCTAGGGCCCGCGCCGGCCATGGCAATGGCGGCGGCGGCGGCAGTGGATCCGGCTCCAAATAGGCCTCTCCTCCTTCTCCTCTGCGATATGTGATTTGTCTTTTCATGGAAAAAATTATTTCTTGTGATATGTGATCTTGTGATTTGTGATTGTCTGGAGGTAGAAGAAGGCTGGAGACTGGAGGTAGAAGAAGGGTGGAAGCTGTTGGATCTTAATCCTATAATGCAAAAAAAATTCATGTGTTGAAACTATATAATACACATGTTTGTGTAGTAGACAGACTAATATTTTTAAAAGGGAGCGTCAGGAGCAGAAGGTATGCACGAGATATATGTATTTACGTATGATAGTTTGGTTGGGACTCTGGTATGGACAAGGACGGACGAAGAACGGACCCGAGCGGCGCACGGTAATAGAACCCGTGATAAAAGCGTGTACCATTGGGAAGGGCAGACAAAAAATTAGGCTAAAATTTTCTCTCTTTAGTATCAAGTAAGTATAAGTAGGTATCAGGTATAGATGGAGCTCCAATATAGGACTATTTTTTTTTATCTTGCAGATGTACAAAATTGATAACACTGGCAGACCTAGGCCCCGGAAAGCCCGGGCCTCTAGTCTACAAGGCCCAGTCATTGTCAACCTATATATACAAAGAAGATGCGGTCCAATTCATTGTTTAGCCCATTAGATCCTCCATGGTTCCAAAAATCCTTTTGGTACACTGCTCCTTGATAAGTTGTGTGCATATAGTGATATATAGCACAAACATTGCGTATCTTATCTTTGTTGTGACAATTTAGTTGTGTGCACATGACTCCCACACCAGGTTTCAAATCCCCGAGGCAACAATTTTATAAAGAAAAAAGTTTCTATCTCCAATTTCAATACATAATGGTTATGTTTGAATCCTGCAATGGAGCTTCCAAAAATTTTATTTTTGATTCAATTTTCTCAGTTTTATTAACCCAACTGCTCTTTATTTATCGCTTTATATTTTTATTTAGGCCTCATTCGCTTCTGCTGGAATGAGCCCCAGGAAAAATTCTTGGCCGGAATCATTAGTAAATTTATACATAGCCGGAATTATTCCTGGCCATACTGTCATAAACGAACGGGCCCTTATTGTTTCAAAAGTAAAGTTACGAATTCGAATTCTCTCTCTCTTTTAGAATTTTATTATATCGATGTTTTTATCACATTGCCTTTTTTGTTTGTTTGATTTTTTTGAGAAAAAATTGTTTGATTGATGTCTCTTATTATTCTTCCTTACACGCATACATGTCTGTCTCCCGAGTGGATTGTGATGGGCCATAATCATGACATTAGGCCATAGATCAATTCTATTTGTAGCACACCCGCCCTGCTTAGACTGTCTCCAACGGCCCGCACCTAAAATCGAGAGGCATTCCATGATTTGGGTAGTGTACAGCGAAAAGGTCACGGACCCAAAACTTTGCTTTTCCAACAACCGACGCAAACGAGAACCCCGGAACGCCGCGTCGGGCCGCTCCCGTCGCCGCCGGGGAAGCCCTAGACCCCGAGTGGGAGGTGCTCGCCGACGTGCTCCCGCCGCCCGTTGACGCTGAGGAGGGGTTTGTGTACACCTCTCACCACAGGGAGGAGGCGGCGGCGTACGAGGTGCTCGTGGCGGGGGGGGGATGTTCCTCAAGAACAAGGCCCCGACCGCCAGATCCGCCGTCGAGGCGCTCCCATTCGCCGTCGTCGTAGTCGGCCAGGAAGGCGAGGGGGATGAGTGCGCGGTCTACAAGGACGGGGTTGCCGCCGCCGGCGTGAATAGCACCTGTTCTTCTTTCTTCTTGTCCTTGGCAGTAGGAGTCGCCGGTGTCACGCCGTGGGATGAAGGGCGCCGGAGCTCGCAGGCGCGGCGAGGCGATGGGACGGATGCGGGCGGCCCCGAGGCCTCACCGGAGCCGGGTGCGCGCGGTCATGGCGGTGGAAGAGGAGGCGCTCATGGGGGGCAGCGCGCAGCCGCAGCTCGCAGCCTCACCGGGCACGGCCACGATAGTGGCCGCGCGGTGGCGGATGCAGCGGCAGGAGAGATTGGGGCCGAGCGCAGAGTAGAGGATGACGGGAGGCCAGCGCGTGGAGACGCAGAAGGACGGAGAGAGGACGCTTATTTGCGTTCCGTGTTCGCTCTCATCCAAAATGCGTCGCTAGTTTGCCTACTCCGTTGAAGCTCGTTTGATGCGGATAGAACACGGCAAACAACCTATGTTGGGTATGCGTCACGCGATGCCTACTTTGTTGGAGTCAGTCACAGGACCCAGCCAGCGCGAGACCCAGCCGCATGAACCAGGAGGCCGAGCATAGCAGGCAGCCAGCGCCGCTCCTAGCCGCCACCCCGCGCGAACCAACCGGGGCGCGTCGCGGCGTCGGGGTAACAATCGCTCGATCCGCAGTGCGGCCACCGCGCACACGTGACCCCCCGTCGCGGCGGCGGCGTCGCTGCAGATCGCGCGGGGCGCCCTGTTGCCGCGCTGCTGGGGGCCACGCCCTCGCTGACCCCCGCCCGCGTCCGCAATTCGCCCGCGCCGCTGGACCCGCGGGCGCCGCCGCCGACTCTGCAGAGCGAAGCCGGCGCCGTAGAGGTGGAGCTCGGCGGAGGGGAGCACCCCCGGGCGCACCGGAGACGCGGGCGAGCCGGACGACCGCCTTACAATCCGGCCCATATCATAAAGCCCAACTCCACTTCCCGTTTTTCCTTCCGCGTGCGGTGTTCTTCCGTTCGAGTACCCGCCGCCGTCCCGTAGCTCCCTCTCCGCGCGTGTCCGCCGCCCGCCGGTCCCCGCGGCTCCCTCCTCCCACCTCCGCGCGTGGCTGTGGCACCGTGGCTCCCTCTCCTGAGCGCGCCTGCTCTTCCCGTTGACAGGTCAGCCCTCCGCACCTAGGGCCGGATCTGCTTCCTCTCGTCTCCACGCCCACCTTCCAGGGACGGCCGTTGCCTGCGCGGTGCCCGTGGCCGCCTCGTCGACGCAACGCCCTCTTCCTCCCTAGTCCCTCCATCGGAACCACCCTAAGCTTCGTTAGCTCATTCGGTGCCGCCGAAAGCATCCCCGTCTCTGTCGCCTCCGCCACCGCCTCAGCGGCTACCAGCCGGACTCCCCAGGCCTCCCGCTTAGCCCCCCTCGCTGGTGATGGCCGCGGCCCCGCCGGCAGCCGGAGAAGATATTAAAGACGGCGTTGAGATGTGCCTGTTCGATGAATCAGCAGATGGGTTCTTGAGAACTGTGCGCGCCATCTCGGAGCTCGTCGACAAAGAGCCCGAACCAGACTTCCCTGAGGCGGAAGTTGAGCGGCTCTCCTCCTCAATAACGTTCCTCAGGTAAAAATCTGTCTCCTGGTTTCCTCTGCTCTCGCACTCAGTCACCAAGATGGAATTAGCAAATTTCCTGTGCCAGCCTGATGGGTGATCGTAGACGTGATCCTATATAGAAACATGTGCTCGATTTTCATGGAGTGTATTACATGGAATATATCATACACATGTGGGAGAATTTGTTTAACTCTTGTAGCTTCGGAGTATATGTTGTCCACTTGAGTGCTAGTTATCAGATCGCGATAATATTCATGATTTATTGGTTTAGTTAAAGGTCTACCTGTTCGTTCCTCGAATATCCACAAGCTCCCCAAAATTTGAAAAGATGCAGGAGTTACATTTGATTTCTCCTTTCTTTCTAAATGGCCTCTTTTTCAGATATATGTTTTTGTATTTTCTTATCTGCAAATATAATTTTCTGCTCATTTGATCTTTGTCTTCAGAGAATGGAGGCACTTCTCTTATGAGCCAAAAAGTGTAACTTTCACTAATGGCACTGAGTCAACTTCATCTAGAGATGACATGCACAGTGTAACCTTACCACAGTTTTCATCTGCTTCTGTTCCCCAGGTCAGTGAAAGTAAACTTAGTAGTGTTTTAGTTTCTGAGCCCCGTCTTTGCATTTTTTTAGGAGAGTTATGCATTATTTTTCAGCTCAATAGGATTCCTCTCTGATACTCTTTCCCCTTGGGTTTGTAACTGTGGAAATCATTACAGGTCACACCTCCAGAAGACCGGAAGGATAATACAGTCAGGTGCACAATCCCTCCTCTCCCCCTGCATGGGGGAAAGTAGTCTTTGTTGTGGAGCATGTGTTTAATAGCCCGAGCTGTTATATTATCTTAACATTTCTTATTTATATCCAAGGTTGTTATACATGGACCACCAATTAGAAAAATTGTTATAATAACCGTTTCATGCTGAAAGTCTTTTCTAGAAAAGTATGCCAAAGGCTCCCTTGGTTCAGAACAATAATCTTGTTGAGTCCTGCAATGTGCCTTATGATCTATATTCTAACTTGTGGGTAGCTGAATCATGAAACTATTCATCTCTTCAAGAGTGCCAAATTCTTAAATATCCGGAAGATAATAGTTCTAATTATTTATTGGTTTGCACAATAATCTTTGTTAAGTATAAATTTGAGAGTGTGATGAACTTGAGAATAAATATGCTGTTAAAATCAGTCTTCTGCCCTCTTCAATTTATTTTTCTGATACTTGATTATCCATGTAAAATTATATTACTATCGTGATTGAACTTTGACCAAGTGTCTTTAATTATTGCAGCTTTGATTTTATTCTATATGCGGGGGGGAATGTCTGGGCCTTGGACTGGTGCCCTAGGTTGTGCGACAAGCCTGACTCTTCTATAAACTGTGAGGTTGTGGCCTTTATAACCATGAACTTTGTAGTGAAGACATTAAGTACTGTGAAATTGTAAACTTGTCTAAAACACACCATTTAATTATCCAAGTATTGAGGGATAATTTAGCTGGATGCCACCCTGAAGTTTGTCATTCAGAAAAATACCACCTGTCAGTGACATGGCCGGTAAGTCGTGGGCTCACTGGTCAATGACACATTGAGGCTGCTCCTAATGCATAGTATCATATTGTTATATCCAAATAACCTGGACCAACTCTTCTCTAACTTAACTGAAAGGCAGAGCTCCTGCCAGTTGCGTTCAAAAAAATATTGTTATATCCAAGACTGCCATGCTACAAGAAGAACATTTATAGAAACAACCCTACTCCGTCCAGTCACAAATATGTAGCGTTTTGTGATTGTCTGAAGTCAACTATTCTAAACTTCCGGTACTACTTTTTATCGTAATATATATCTTTCAATGTATCAAAGGTATAATTTTATTAAACTATTGTCCAAGACAAATGTACTCGTATCACTTGCAATCAGTCAAACTCAACGCATTAATTGTAGTCAAAGTTTGGGATTGTTGTTTTCAGTTACCTCAAAACATCACTTATTTATGACTGGAGAAAGTATTGTCATTTCCTAGGTTCCTGAAATGATTTACTTGCTGTATATATTTTGTACAAATCCTTCATGTGGTACACGACAATTTAAGTCTATATGGTTTCCTAGTATTGGATTTCTCACCCAAGTGATTTCTTAAATAAGATACTCGACTCACTCCTCTTTAACTGCTTATCATGCCACCAGAAAATCCTATGTTGCACGTGATAAATGTGCATTTTACTACCCATTGGGTTTTTAAATTACTGAAGTGCCAGCTTTTGGGTGGCATGTATCTGTAAACCTTATGCAGCTGTTTTCTTGACTCTATCTTTGTCCTCTGGATGATTATATGGTTGCACCTATATTTTTTGTCCATAACAGTTATGCTAATAGCTTGTTTTCATTTTAGTCCTTATTGCAAGAGTACTGTGAACTTACAAGTAACACAAAAGGTTAATTGGCGCTCATGATCCTATGTCATGTACTCATATATTCTATCCTTTGCAGTATCTTGCTGTTTCTGCGCACCCTCCTGGTTCTTCTTACCATAAACTTGGCATGCCCTTAACCGGGAGAGGTATCATTCAAGTTTGGTGTCTGTTAGCACCATTTGAAGACGCACATTCTCACCGGTCAATGAATGTATGCAATAATAGTAATCGAAGAGGAAGGCCTAGAAAAATACCTTGTAGTGATAAGCTGGAACCTGTTCCAAAAGGACCAAGGGGGAGGCCAAGAAAGAGACCTTACAGTGATCAGTTGGAACCTGTTCCAAAAAGACCAAGGGGCAGACCAAGAAAGAATCCGTTGCCAGTTGCAAAATTTGAAGATTCATCCCAAAACGGTGAAAGTCAGGATATCATTCTTTTTGATCCCCTTTCTACTTCAAGTGTTTTTCCAGATGACCTTCCATTGGCTTATGTCATGCCAACTGCGAAGTCTGTGCAATCAACTCCGAATAAAAGAGGTAGAGGGCGACCTAAGAAAAATCCAAGTGACAAACTGACAGGCTCATCTGGTACTGTATTGGAAGATGTGTGTACAGCCCCACCTCCAACAACTGCAATCTGTACAAAACCTAAGAGACCACGGGGGAGGCCTCGAAAATATCCAATTCCAATGAACAATGGATCTGTTTCAGACGCTGATGTTGAATTAGGGAAAGGGACAACTTGTCAGCCTGCTTCATTTGGTTGCAGTTTGGACGACACTGCTTGCACAGAGTTTAATGCTAATTTAAGTATTGTTGCAGTTGATGCAGCATTGCCGCTTATTGACAAACTGACCTCATCTCCAACAACTGCAATCTGTACAAAACCTAAGAAGCCACGGGGGAGACCTCGAAAGTATCCAGTTCCAATCAATGGTGGATCTGTTCCAACAACTGCAATCTGTACAAAACCTAAGAAACCACGGGGGAGACCTCGAAAGTATCCAGTTCCAATCAATGGTGGATCTGTTTCATGCACTGATGCTGAATTAGGGCAAGAGACAAATTGTCAGCCTGTTTCATTTGGCTGTAGTTTGGACCACACTGTTTGCACAGAGTTTAATGCTAATTTAAGTATTGTTCCAGTTGATGCAGCATTGCCAGTAAAAGAAAGCGTGTGTACCGAACCATCTCCAGCAACTGCAACCCGTAACCAACCTAAGAGAACACGGGTGAGGCCTCAAAAGTATTCGGACACTATGATTGAACTGGGGAAAGATACAACTGGTCAGCCTGTTTTATTTGGGTGCAGCATGGATCACACTGCTTGCACAGAGTCTGACTCTAGTTTTAGCATCGTTGCAGTTGAGGGTAATGCTTGTAAAGGTGCTCTGCCTATCCACATTTCACCTAAATCAAGTAATAAAAGAGAGTCAAGTGGCAGGAGGGGAAGAGGAAGGCCTAAAACGATACCACTTTCTGCTGGAACTGGTCGTTTTGTGGCTTCTGGTGCCAGCCTCCCAATGACAACCTCTGTACTGACTAGTCCAAACAATCCCACATCTTTGAACAAGAGTGGTGGCAAATTTATAGCAAGTAGCCTTGGTTCATGTGGGTGTGATATTGAGAAATGCAGTGTTCATTCAGGTGTTTTGTTGTCTGATGATGCATCACCAGCACATGGCTTATACAATGCAAATTGTAAGGAAGAATCAAATACCAAAATAGGAAAAGAGGGATCTAGAAAGAAGCCTGTTTCAACTGAGCACAGGCATTTTACTGATTTTAATGTCAAAGAACAAAAACTGCAGACAATTCCGAAGTCAGGCGATCCTGTGGTCTTGGTTGAAAACTGTATGGAAGGACCAGGCCCCAGAAAGGCTAGGGGGCAACTTCAAAGGATACCTGCTTCAAATGAGAGTAGTGGCACATCTGTTGGTGGTGAAACACATAAAATGGAGGGATTATCCACATCAATGACTAAAGGGTCATCTAAAAGTGATCACATGGCTCATGGGGCTAGTTTGAATCAGTCTAAGAATGCAATTGTTGGTTGCGATGGCATGGAAGTTAATGAAAGCAACACTGCCAATTATACTTCTCATTGTAATGAAAATGCACGAGAAAATCAAGTTGCACCTAGTTTCAAGAACAGTGATAGGGTCATTGATGAAACGGAAGCTGCAGAACTTGTGCCACTCAAGGAATCAAGGGAAGATGACAATATGTTTAGTTGTGTAAACTCAAACTCATCTTCAATTACAAGGGACATTGCTCAACCAAGAGTTGTCTTGTGTTTAGCTCACAACGGCAAAGTCGCTTGGGACATCAAATGGAAGCCTCCTTTACTAAGTCAACCTGAACAGAAATCACGACTGGGTTTCCTTGCAGTATTGTTGGGGAATGGAACTCTTGAAGTGTAAGTTGGGCAACCCATTGCTATGCTAGAACTTCTTTTTAATAAATAATCACTCACATACTTCATTGTTTGTACACAGGTGGGAAGTTCCATCACCATGCATGATCCAGAAAATATATTCCCCCTCTAAGGTGGAGGGTTCTGACCCTCGTTTTCTAAAGCTACAACCTGTATTTAGGTGTGTCAAAGTGAAGTGCAGGAACAGGCAAAGGTACTGTGACTTCAAAGTTTTAGCATGTGATTGATACTTTTGCTTATAGAGCTAGATTTAGGTTTTTTACTTTCTGCTATATTCCTCAGCATGAATATTCTTTTTGAAGTCATGACCTCTTTATAATGGTAAACAGCATTCCCTTGACAGTTGATTGGTCACCTTCTCCTCCTCATGATATGATATTGGCGGGTTGTCATGATGGAACGGTATATTTTCCTCTTGAAGAGAATAGTTTCCTTAACTCAAACCCCAAGCCTTTCAACTTTTATTTGAAGTTGCTAGTCTAAAAGTTTAATGTTGCATTTGATGTTTCTGGTTGCTTTAATGTTGTATTTGATGTTTCAGGTTGCTTTAATGTTATATTTGATGTTTTAGGTTGCTTTATGGAACTTCTCGATACATTTGCCAACACAAGGTAATAGATACCTTTCCTTTCAAAGCCTCTCTGTGACTGATATTTGGAAAACATGATTAGTCACTTTTCCTTTTTTTATTGTAAAGCTTTTGAATTCGTGTACTGCATATTTATCATTTTATTTTGATTAAAATTAACCATTTTTTCCACTGAATGTCCAGATTCAAAACCTTTTATGTGTGTCACTGCTGATTCTGTTCCCATTAGAGCTCTCTCTTGGGCACCATATATAAGGTACTGTGCAGTATTGTTCTTCTCCACCACTTAAAAGTGATGCCAGCCCTAAACTTGAATCCATTTAACAGTGAAGAAAGCACAAATACCTTTGTCACTGCTGTAGAGGATGGTCTAAAGTTCTGGGATTTAAGGTATGTGTAACATATCCTCGGAGGCTTATCTCAACTCATCTTTTTGTTAAAATTTCATGGACTAGATATCTACTAAATTTCATCATTGTCATACTAGTGCCTCTGATTCTATGAATAAAAACATTTCAGTACATATTTAAGACCCATGTCCATTTTCATTCGTCCTTTTTGAGGTGTTGAGGTGAACAAGTAAAAATACATCCAATCTATATAATATGCTATTCTCAAAAGAAGTATGCTGTTTATAAGAATTTGGTGTAATTTTTTTTAGACCAAAGGTATTCACCCAGCTTTATTAGAAAGCCTATCGAACACCCTAGTCCAGCGCTGGGAACACCAGCTTACAATGATGAGCTTAAAAGAAGACCGACTACCTCAACCAGAACTAGAGTTTATCTCTATCTGACAACTCAGGATACCAACGACTACCTCAACAGGTACCAGACTAAAACCAAAAGAGCAAGCAACAGCGTAAGCACTACCCCCATGGGGTTACAGGATTAAGAGCAGGCTACATCGCCGACGCAGCATTATCCGAAATCAGATTGATCATTTCCTCCGCCATGGGCTTCAGCTTTGGTTTTAGAAGGGGACGCCAGGTCTTGGACAGCATCAGCGTTTTGTAGACAAGCGCCACCGGCGACGACAGGACCTTCTTGTTGAACACCACTTCATTCCTAGTCTTCCAGATTGACCATAGAGCTCCTGCACATATAAACAGAGTTGGCTGCTGCTTCTTACCTCGACATCTCTCCAAGATCTCTAAGAATAAGGAAGAGCAACTAGTTGGCGACATCTGCTAGCCAAGACAGTCCCTCAGGAATGACCACAGAAAGACGGCCATTGGACATTGGAAGAGGATATGGTCAGTAGATTCATATTTGTCACAGACCAGACATTTGTCGGGCCCTGACCATTTTTTCTTTTTTAGTTGGACTCCACATTGGATCCTGTCATGTACAGCCATCCAAACAAATATCTTGACTTTCAAAGGGATGGGACATTTCCAGATCATCATCATTCTAGTGTCAATCACACCACCGGAGGTCATTGCATTATATAGAGATTTTGTGGAATATTTATGAGATATCTCTAAAACCCAGATAACTTTGTCAGGTCCTTCAGAGAGACTGACATCTCCAAGTAGATTCTGTAAGGCAATCCACTCCTGACTTAGACTCTCATTTAGCTGTCTTCTGAAGGTAATACGCCACTGACCGTTCACATATGCATTTGCCACCACAATGTCTGGATTGCAGGAGATCATAAACAGGTTATGGAAACTGATCTTCAGTGGGCAGTCACCAAGCCAGCAGTCCAGCCAGAATCTGGTTTGTTGGCCTGATCTAACCTCAATAGCTCTACCCTTTTGATACCACTGTCTCAGGTCCAACAGAGATCTCCAAAACTGAGAACCTTTCCTTCTTAATTTGGAAAATACTCTTCTGACCCAAGTATTTCTTCCTTAATATAGAGCAGCAGAGACTCTTCTCCATTTGACCAGTAAGCAGGTATTCATAACTCTCACATCTAAGAAACCCAACCCTCCAAACTCTTTAGGTCTGTTTAGGGCCTCCCACTTAATCATGTGATATTTTCTCTTCTTCCCTGTGCCTTGCCAGTAGAATCTGGATCTGATAGAGTCCAAAGCTTGGAAGTTGCCCTCATAAAGCTGGTACACCCCCATGGTATACAAAGGGATACTGGATAAACAGGAATCAATCAAAGTAGATTTACCTCCAGATGACAAGTAGTCACACTGCCAAGTACCCTATCTCTTCTCAGTTTTATCACTAACATATTTCAATTGGGCTTTAGTGATCTTACAATTACTAACAGGCATTCCTAGATATTTCATGGGGAAAGTCCCAATCTTGCAGCCCAAAATATCAGCAGCCAATAATTGATCCTCATCTGATAGGCCTACAGTAAAAACCTCACTCTTTTCCAAATTATAATCTTCATGCCTGACATGGCTTCATAACAGGACAAGATCAATCTGGTTGTTCTCAGATTTTCAATAGAAAACTGAAGCAAAATCAGTGTCATCAGCCTATTGTAAGTGAGTGATACCTCCCTCAACTAGGTGTGGAATCAGACCCTGTATAACTCCAGCACTACTAGCTCTAGTTAGCATAGCTGAAAGGGCATCAGCCACCAGGTTAAAAAGCAATGGTGACAATGGGTCCCCTTGTCTGAGACCTTTGAAACTTCTAAAAAACTCACCTCTTTCTCCATTGAGATCTATACAGACTTTGCCACCTCTAACAGCCTTGTTGATCCAGCTAATCCAGGTGTCAGAAAAACTTTTTCTCTGTAGAGTTTCCTCTAAAAATTCCCAACTCACCTTGTCATAGGCCTTCTCAAAGTCTAATTTGAGAATAACTCCAGCAGTTTTGGTAGATCTTAATTCATGAAGTATCTCTTGAAGAATGACCACACCCTCTAAGATGTTCCTGCCGGAGAAATGCTGTCTGAAATGGACTAATCACTCTGTCAACAACAGCAGTCAGCCTGATTGTCAGTGTCTTAGTAATGATCTTATAAATCACATTGAGTAAGCAGATGGGCCTGAACTGTTTAACATTGATAGCAGGTTTTACTTTGGGAATCAGAATAATGACACCATAGTTAAGTCTCCACAGATCAAGGTTCCCATCGTGCAGGTTATCCAGTAGCTCTTTAATAAGTTCTCTAATTTGTGACCAGAAGGCTTTGAAGAATTCCACAGTGAAGCCATCGGGACCTGGCGCTGTGTTATTCTTCATTTCCTTCATGGTATTGTCCACCTCTTCAAGGGTAAAAGCTCTAGTTAAAAAATCATTCTCGCTTGGAAGTATTTGTTGATCAGCAGACCACATATCTCGGTCCAAGTGCATATCAGCAGTCTCAGCTTTCCCAAACAATTGCTTGTAGTAGCCAGTTATGTGATTCTTGAGACTGATAGGATCTATTATCTCTTGCCCGTCTATCTCCAACATAGATACTTGCATTTTCCTCTTTCTTCCATTGGCACACTTGTGAAAGTAGCTGGAATTAGAATCTCCTTGGAGTAGCCACTTTTCACCTCCTCGTCTCTTCCATTGTAACTCTTCATCAGTCAGAATTTGCTGAAGGTCTCTATCCAAACCATACCTCTCTTCCCACTCTGTCAGGGACAGGCTTCTATTGTCACTTTGCTCATCAAGAAAACCAATTCTTCTAATGATGTCTTCTTTAGCTTTCCTTTGTTGACTGTCAGTGTTCTGCCCCCAGCCCTTAATTGCTCTTCTTAGCATTCCAGATAGTATATGCCAATGGTCCAGGGGGTCATGTTTGTATCTCGTAGGCCACTTAGAAACTACCCATTCATGAAAACCACTGTGATTAAAATCTGAAATAGTGTTGGCTTGGATGAAGGTTAGCACCGGTATCAACAATGAGAGGATTATGGTCAGAGCCCACTCTAGGGGCAGAATTTGGTGTAATTGATACAGATAAAGTTTGCTTGTGTGTCAACCAAAGCTTCTACAAAAGCAGTATATGCACTGAAGCTGTACAGTCCTGTTACTGTTTGCCTGTGTTGGAAGTGGAAGTAACGGGGGACCTTTAGGAAGAAAAACTTATTGAATAACCTTGACATTTCTCAATCCTTCCTTCAACAATGTGATACCATTTTTTTCCAGGTATAATGTATAACCTACCGATGTTATGCAACAACAACAACAACATAGCCTTTTAGTCCCAAGCAAGTTGGGGTAGGTTAGAGTTGAAATCCACTAAGAGCCTCAAGTTACGGTTCAGTCACTTCAATAACTGCTTTCCAAGTACTCCTATTCAAACATAGATCTCTAGTTATATCTCAAGCTTTCAAATATCTTTTTATTGTCTCCCTCCATATCAATTTCGGTCTTCCTCTACCTCTCTTCGTATTATTAGCTTGACTTAGGACTCCACAATGCACTAGTGCCTCTGGAGGTCTCCTTTGGACATGGCCAAACCATCTTAACCGATGTTGGACAAGCTTTTCTTCAATTGGTGCTACCTCTAGGCGATCACGTATATTATCGTTCTGAACTCGGTCCATTCTTGCGTGACCGCAAATCCATCGCAACATACGCATTTCTACAACACTCAGTTGTTGAACATGTCGAATCTTTGTAGGCCAACATTCTGCTCCATACAACATAGCCGGTCTAATCGCCGTTCTATAGAACTTGCCTTTTAACTTTTGTGGTACCCTCTTGTCACGGAGAATGCCAGAAGCTTATCGTCACTTAATCCACACTGCTTTGATTCTATGGCTAATGCCCGCATCAATATCTCCATCCCTCTGAAACATCGATCCCAGATACCGAAAGGTATCCTTCTTAGACACTACTTGACCTTCCAAACTCACATCTTTCTCCTCCTGTACAACTCCGCCAAAGTCGCATCTTATGTATTCGGTTTTAGTTCTGTTCAATCTAAAACCGTTAGACTTAAGGGTCTCCCGCCATAACTCTAGTTTCCTATTTACTCCCGCCTGACTTTCGTCCACTAACACTATATCATCAGCGAACAACATACACCAAGGGATATCCCCTTGTATGTTCCTGGTAACCTCATCCATTAACAAGACAGAGATACGGGTTTAAGGCTGACCCTTGATGAAGTCCAATTTTAATCGGGAAGTAATCTGTGTTATCATCGTTTGTTCAAACACTAGTCACAATATTGTTGTACATGTTTTTGATGAGGGTCACGTACTTTGATGGGACTTTATGTTTGTCCAAAGACCACCACATAACATTTCTTGGTATCTTGTCATAAACCTTCTCCAAGTCAATGAAAACCAAGTGGATGTCCTTCTTCTGCTCTCTAAACCGCTCCATAACCTGTCTTATTAAGAAGATTGCTTCTGTGGTTGACCTTCCGGGCATGAAACCAAATTGATTTATTGATATCTGCGTCGTTCCTCGCAGGCGCTGCTCGATGACTCTCCCATAACTTCATAGTGTGGCTCATCAACTTAATTCATCGATAATTAGTACAACTTTGGATATCTCCCTTGTTCTTGTATATTGGTACCAATATGCTTCTTCTCCACTCCTCAGGCATCTTGTTCGATCGAAAGATATTGTTAAACATCTTGGTTAGCCATACTATAACTATATCCCTGAGACATCTCCACACCTTGATTGGGATACCATCAGGGTCCATCGCTTTGCCCATTTTCATCCTTTTCAAGGCTTCTCTGACCTCCGATTCTTGAATTCTCCGCACAAAGCGCCTGTTAGTGTCATCAAACAAGTCGTCCAGCTGAACGGTGGTGTTCTTGTTCTCACCATTGAACAATTTATCAAAATACTTTTGCCATCTATGTCTGATCTCATCCTCCTTCACCAAGAGCTACTCTCTCATCCTTTATGCACTTGACTTGGTTGAAGTCCCTCGTCTTCCTATCGCGAGCCCTAGCCATCCTATAAATGTCCTTTTCTTCTTCCTTCATACTCAAACGTCGGTAAAGGTCCTCATAGGCCCGCCCCTTTGCCTCACTCACCGCTCGTTTTGCAGTCTTCTTTGCCACCTTGTACTTCTCTATGTTGTTTGCACACCTGTCATGATATAAGCACTTATAGCACTTCTTTTCCCTAATAGCCTTTTGCACATCTTCATTCCACCACCAAGTGTTTTTCGAGTCATATCCGCCCCCTTTGGTCACTCCAAGCATCTCTGAAGCAACCTTCCGAACGCATGTTGCCATCTTCTCTCACATGCTATTTGCATCGCCTTCATCATTCCAAGGGCCCTCTTCAATGACCTTTTCCTTAAAGACATTTGATGCCTCTCCTTCTAATTTCCACCACTTCGTTCTAGCAATCCTAGCTTGTTTGTTCCCACGAGCTTCCACTAGAAAGCGGAAGTCAGCCACCACCAGCTTCTGTTGAGCGACCACACATTCTCTAGGTATCACCTTACAGTCCACGCATGTTCGTTTATCCCTCCTTGTAAGGGCAAAGTCGATTTGACTAGAGTACTGGCCGCTACTAAAGATCACTAAATGGGACTGTCTCTTACGGAAGAAAGTGTTAGCTATCATCAGATCAAAAGCTATGGCGAAGTCTAAGACTTCCTCTCCCTCCTGGTTCCTACTACCATATCCGGAACCCCCATGAACCGCCTCGAAACCTGCACTTGAAGTACCTACATGGCTATTAAGATCACCTCCTATAAAGAGCTTCTCGCTACTAGGGACAGCTCTAACGAAGCGATCTAAGTCTTCTCAGAAAAGCCGGTTAGCACTCTCATCATGGCCTACTTGGGGGGCATACGCACTAATTACGTTTAATGCCATGTCACTAATGACAAGTTTAATTAAGATGATCCTATCCCCTTGCCTTCTCACCTCCACCACACCATCCTTGAGGCTCTTATCAATCAAAACTGCTACTCCATTTTTATTTGAAGTTGTCCCTGTGTACCAAAACTTGAAGCTGATATTGTCCACATCCTTCGCCTTCTGCCCCTTCCATTTAGTCTCTTGGACGCATAAGATATTTACACGCCTCCTAACCGTTGTGTCCACTAACTCTCTTAACTTACCTGTAAGGGACCTTACATTCTAGCTACCTAAACGGATCCTAGTTGGCTCGACTAGCTTGCTTACCCTTCGCACCCGCCGAGGTAGGTGTGAAGACCCTTGCTCATTTTGCACCACACCCGGCCGCCGATGTGGCGCGCCACTAAGGATGCGACGACCCGATCCTTGCTCACTTGACACCGTGTCCAGATCGCGACACGGCGCGTCACGGGGGTGACGACCCGGCCCTTGCTCATTTAACACCATACCCGGGTTCCGACATGGCGTGTCGCTAAGAGGGTTACGCCCCAACGGGATTGTTTTGGGTTTCATCTCCATTAAAGTGGCTAAGTTTTTACATTGGCTCGCCGCGCCTAACACAACCCTCCTTTATCAGGGCTTGGGACCTGCTATGCTGGGACAGCAAAGGCGCCCCACCATAGGCGGAGATAACCTACCGATGTTATGCGTTAGATTGAATTTATGCTTGATAAACAACCTCATGAGTTTGGCCACGCTATGAATGGACTTATTCTTGTTAGCATAACCTTTATAGGAAATAGAAAGTAGGAAATCCTTGAACTCAGAAACCAGACAACTACTACCCCGGAACTATAAATAGCATGCAGCTCAATGCCAGCATGTTCTTCCCCCACGTCTCCTTTTTCCCACTAGCCACGTTGTGCTAGTCGGCACATTATTCAGCCAGCATGGCAGCCTGCTTGAGTTGAGGATGGGTACCGGTGTCCCGCATGCTGAAATCTGTATAATTTTTCAATTGCTCTGCCTTGGCGTGCCATGCCCTCTTCTCTCTTCTTCTCCCTCCCTCCCTCCCTCCCTCCCTCTCCTTAAACCTGACCCCACCATGAGCCAAAAGTGACATGTCAAAACCAATGACAAACAGTGCCATGTCAGATAAAAACCACATTTGAACACCTTGAAATGGTACAAGCAGTCAGAAGTAAGTCATTTTGGCAGTTTGGTGGTCAATTTTATTGTTTTCTGAGTTCGAGTGCCAATACCAGACATCGACAACATTCCAGTGGCCAAAAATGGACTTTGATCAATAATTTAACTGTTTTTTTCTACAACGGGAAGCTGGAATTTCATTACCTCACAGCAACGAAATTACAAAAGCGTTCAGAGTTTTGACCACGAAACCGAAACCTTTCAAAAACACACCAACGCATCTGACCACCCAGGGCCCAGCATGCGTAGCACTAATGGCATCTTTAATACAATGAAAAGCAGCTCTCCTGCGTTTTCAAAAAAAAAGACACATGACAGAATGATCTTCGCCTGAACCAAACGATGACAAATAATGCAAACTTTAAGCATCACTGAGCGACTACTAGTTACATGCCCAAATGGACACAGCTTCCGCACACAGGCTGTACTAGATCCAACTAAGATTCACATCTCCCGCTTCACTTCAGTTCACCATGCCCTCCTGAATCTCCAGTCTTCTTTCCACGTGTTCTTGCTGATGGTAGTGAAGAGCAGCCACCTTCAAAGCTTCCTCCCCTTGCTCCAACTAAGCAGCATGGCCTGGTTTCTGTAAACCTGTCCAATAAGATAAGGAAGAACAGACCATGCGAACCATCTCAGTAGGTGATCTACACCTTTTCCTTCAAAGCATACATTGTTTCTTGCTTTTTTCCATAGTGCCCAACCAGTGGCGATATGCATTGCTGTGGGTGCGGATGCACCCAAGAAAAAAATGGAATACCAGTGAGTAGGATCAAATTTTCACCATGGTTGCAGCTCATGTCTTCGCATCTACAAGACAGGCGCACCCCCCTCTAGTTTGCTACAGCTTCACCGCTGTACCCAACATACAGCCGTAAGGCTAACCACATGAAAATGTTTACTGCACGGCAGACAGGCCTACAAGAAAACCCCAAGACGTGGGTGACTTAGGCTCCAAACAAAATGTGCCAACGCACAACCAAAGAAGAGATGATTTATGTTTTTTTTTCAGTGCAGAAGGCACAAGCTTCGTGTCCTTGCCAATGACACAGTGACCGGTTATCTTTTGTTAAGATGGCATCCTGCATAGCTAACCACATAAAATTTTTGATCTTGAGAGGTATCTTGGCTTTCCAAATGGCTTTGTAGCTTGTACCATACTCAGATCTGCACAGGTGTCTATACACATATTTCACAGAAAACCTGCCCTTTTCCCCAAGTCCACTTGGCTTGATCTTTCATTATTGAAAGCACATCTGAACATATCATGTAATCTTCTAAGTTGGGTTTGGAGCTCTTTCATGAAGCCATCTTCTAACTGATAGATGCCAGTTCTTTCCATATACTTAATGTACTGAACAAATTTGATCATTACAAATTCTTGGGAACTTGTCCTTCAGGGAAACATTTCCACACCACACATCTGACCAGAAATCAGTGGATTTTCCATTTCCTAACACCCTATTTCTACCTTTTAAGTAAACAATCACTCACTTTCAGCAGATCATTCCACAAGGGGAAATTATGGGGGCTATATTTCAAACGTGACAAACAATTTGTTTTAATATATTTCTGTTTGACAATTTCTTGCCAAATTCCACCTTTAGTTTCTAACTTCCACCACCATTTACACAACAAGCTGATATTCATTCTCCTCAGATCATGCACACCCAGACCACCTTTCTTTTTAGGTCTGATTATGGTGGCCCCTTTAACAAGTGATTTCTAAACCATTTTTCCCCAAATCTTTTTCTTGTTTTATCCATTCTTTAAATGATGGTTGTAGTCTTTTAGGAAGTAATAAATGCATGGAAATAGGATAAGTTGGCAAACTTTTCAAACTGGAGTTGAGCAAAATTGGTCTACCCCCAATGGTTAAGGCACTTCCTTGCCACCCATCTAGTTTTTTCATCATCTTTTCACAATAATTTAAGTGTTTGGTTCAGTACCTTCGTTTCAGTTTTGATCTCTCTCTCTTGCTCTACGACATTTGTGTGCTTAGGCACGAATTTGTGAATGTCCTTTCTTATTTCACTGAACTGTGATATTTGATTACTAATTTTTCATGACACATGAATCACTTTTGCAGAGATCCATACCGTCCTCTTTGGGAGCTAACTACTGCTCCAAAGGCTGTATTAAGTCTTCATTGGCTAAAGGATGGAAGGTAATACTTAGTTCCAATACAGAGTACATCAGTAAATAAAACAATTTGGTACAAAATTTGCTTTGCTTCTTGTATAGACAGTTTTATTTGTCTTTGTTCTCTGTAGGCACTGATCGCATTTAGGTTGTTTTTCTGCTTAGTTAAATGCGGGTCATTGTTGAAAACTAAAATGCAGTTGAAATAGATTGCAAAATGGATTTATTTGTGTCATGATGTTTGCACTATATGGGTCATGCTCTTCCTGTTAGCATGCTAAAGCATCTCGGTCTAGATAACTAGTTTTTCTTGACGCTTCTCAATGTATTATAACCTTTTGAGCTTGCATTGTTTACATGTTTTTAAACATCCTTTTGCACGCCCATGTACCTTATAGTACGTATCATCCAATACTTGCTCCCTTTGTTGGACAGGAACTTAAAATTCTTCCAAGGCTGTTGACCGAACTCACAGACCACAAGATCACTAATTGTTGTCCATAGACAAAATATAATGTGATAACATAAAGTTCATTGTTTGTATTTTTTTCCCTTCGTGTGTATTCTGGAATCTAGGTGAATCATCACCTAACTTTTATTCCTATGTGGATCTTCTATCTCATGCAAGCATCTGATAACCTAGTTAGCATGTTTTATTGTTTGATGTAGTAGGGCATCTTTGTATTCAATGCCGTAGGACAGATAGCATGTGAATGGAACAAATCCTCTTTTGTATTTCTTACTTAGGTATCGATATTATAGTTTGCTTGAAAAAAACATAGAAGGTACTTAGCCTACTCTTCTTGGTTTATCTTATTCATTGTGGATTTGAATTGGCCAGCAAGCACTTTTCATCTGGAGAAACAATTTATTAGACATAGGGAGTCCATATGAGGCATATGGCATTTGGTCAGAATTCGGAAGCAACATTAAAGAATGGCATATTAAAAGTTGTTTACCCACATCTTGTCACATTTCTGTTTATATGTACAGGCTACTGATTTTTTACCCTGTCGTTATTACTAGAATTGTGAAGCTAATGTTATATTTATGACTGATTGTTTTCAGGGGAATCGTTATCTCACTGGAAGATGGTACATTGAAGTTTCTAAGCTTGCCTCGGATTGCAAATGATGTTCCAGCCACTGGAAGACCATTTGCCGGAACAAAAACTCAGGGTGTTGTAACTTATCAGTTGTCAGAATATTTGATTTGGAGTGTCCATGCCTCAGAACCTACAGGTGTGTTTCAGTATCATTCTCATAGCCACTGTCCATATCCTGCCCAATGGTACTGACTACCGGGTAGCAAAGTTCCTATGTAGCAGCAGTGACTTTGGAGTCTAAAATCCAATGAGGGAGAGATTACCATGTAAATAAACAATGACTTAAAATATCGATATCACATGTGTTTGATCTAAATTTCAAAGATGGACTTGTTGCTAATAGAAATTTAAGCGGATCTTCCAGCAGAACTTTGCTAGTAGTAATTACTGGTTTTTGTTTCTCATGAAATTATTAGTTTGCAATTTGATAGTTGATACATAGTTCAATGGATGATAGTGGAGTCAACTGTCTGTAGATTTTTTGGAAAATTTATTGGATGATCCACCCTGTAACTTGGATCACTATGACAGCAGAGAAATTTTTTTACAAGTCTGAAAGGTGTTGTATGAAACAGGAAAAAAAAAGAGCTGGGATCAGTAGCTTACATGAGAAAAATCATCACACCAGAAAGTATCTATCTTAACTGACATCACTACCAGACATAAAGGTGGATGCAGCTTTGTGATTTTCCTGATCGACCCCTACCAGTTTATTAATATACACTGCCTCCAGGCGCTTTCCAAAACAGTGGCAACTTATCTTCTTTTAGTATCAGTCCTAGATCGTTTCCTGATTATGCAGTAACTTCTGCTTTGCCTCAAGGTGTCAAATGCTTGTAGTGGTCTTTAATTTCATAATATTTGTTTGCTGATGTCCAGGTTGTGCGGCTTACTGCGGGGCAGATGGTACTGCTGTGTACTTTCAGGTGAACTTTCTAGTTGATATCATGAACAACATTCTTGTCGTTCTGAGTTGCAGTGTTCTAAGCAAATATTTAACTTGCTGTAGCTTAATTCAAGATTCTGGGATAAAGAACCTGGGCGTAACCGTGTTCCTTATTTCCTCTCTGGATCATTATCAGAGGAGGGAGAAAATATTAAGATTGGCAGCAGGCTGCAAACATCTCCATTACCAAATGTTCCTGTGGTGACCAAAAAGGGTTCAAAACCATGCCAAAATATAGTTCAGGCGCTCGCTACAAGCGATGTCACTGGCCTGCTGATATGTCAGACCAACTCCCCCACAGGAAACAGTGACGCTGTAAATCAAGAACTTGACGGTGATCGAGATGATGGATACAGTGAAGAACAAGCAGCAGGCATGGTAAACACAGAATTTGGCGATGATCAAGACAATGGACACAGTGAAGAAGAAGGAGCGGGTGCAATAATTTTAGCCAGTCCTACAAAGGAAGAGAATGATGGAACATGGAACAGCAAGGGTGGTGAATCCCCTAAAGACCTTAAAGTCATCCCTCCGAATTCTGTCGCTTTACATCAAGTGCGATGGAACATGAACAAGGGTAGCGAGAGATGGCTGTGCTATGGAGGTGCTGCAGGCATCATACGATGCCAGAGGATCTGAAGAAGAGCGCAATCTGGAATGCTCCTCGAGAAACAGAGGCTTGTAACAGATGGTGGTAGGTTCTACTCTATTCTTTTGTGCTACTTTTGACCGGATCACCGAGGGTGGTTAGCTTAGCTGTGCATAACTATAGAAGATAGCCGATGCAATAGACCTTTGCATCTTAGAATTGAAGCCCTCAGGTTCTGAATACATTGGTATGAAAGTCTGGTTCTGATAGTTGCGGTAGTATCAGTGCATGCGAACCTGAGCTTTGGAATAAGCCCGTTGGTGTTCAAATCTTCTGTGTAACTGTTCCCGTGAGGATGTGAACAGAACATGATTTCCCGATGCATTCGGGAGGATTTAATAAATGCCATGGTGCTCGAGATTCTGGTTTCCTGATGTGGTTCATGGACGCTGACACGCTATTCTACTGGGTTTCGTAATGTGATCATGTGATTCATGGGCGCTGACACTATTCTACACTCGGTTTCATTTCGGAACAAAGTTACAATCTTCTGAGCTTAGCGTTTACTCTCTAATAGATCCGGTTTTGCTTTGCAAGCTACTTTTTCTGGGCTTAGCCTTCTGAACTTAGCGTTTACTCTCTAATAGATCCGGTTTTGCTTTGCAAGCTACTTTTTCTGAGCTTAGCCTTCTGAACTTATGGTCTTATGCAACAACCGTTACGCCTACTTGTTCAACGCTGTATTTGGATTCTACCCTTCTAAAGGAATGTCTGCTCTCACAATCTACTTTTCATCTACCAAAACTATCTAAAATGTTTAAAAAAAAAAAAAAAAAAAAGTAGACATATGGCGTACAAAAAACAAAATTGTCCGTGGAGCCGTGATGTCTTGATCATCCAACAGCTATTCCATCCCCATTGTCCGTGGAGCCTACTCTAAATAACCCCCCTTTGCTAGATTATTACCAATATAATTATAGAAGGGTAATTTTTCAGCAATTTTAGACCAAGCAATTTTAGAGTCTCTGTGAAAAATCTGTTGTGAGCTATGAGCTGGAAAAAAATGTTATAGTCTGTTTGGTTAAGCTAACTATAAAACCCACTCTAAAACTAACTATAAAACCCACCCATCTCTTTATCTCCCCTGAAACAGTTGTAAAACGATTCTCTATTTCCATGCATTTGGAAAAGACAAAAGCTGAAAACCAAAAGCAGGGTCTAAAATGCTGCAAAGTTTGTACTACGCGAAAATAGCTGCTTCTGGAAAAGACCGTTTCGTTGACTTTCTACTTTTTGGCAATAGAATCACTTTTCAGAAGCTGAATCAAACATAGTAAGGCTACACTTCTGCCTATTTGCTCAAAGGAATTTTCTTACTTTTGGGTAAAGCATTAATACACAACCATCTACGAAGTGAAGAAAACAAGGCTCCAGGGCCAAATAACATTTTAGTGAGGCTCCAACATCCCTCTATCCTCATGAGGTAAATCTACAAATTATTCAATGATCTGTCAAAATTTCACATGGTAATGTACAATATTTTTGAAAATATACCAAGCCAATATCAGCATTTAGGGGCTGCTAACAAGAGCTAACAACCTCGACATGTTATTTGTTAACATCACTAACATCAATGTCAGTATATACAAGTAGTCCTCCCGGTTCCAGGGAAGAAGGTACATGTTTCTTAGTCGCTCCAGTTATCCTCATCAGCTCCTGAAAGGGTCTTGTCATCATCTTCCTGTAAGAGTTTTACTAGTGTCAAGATTCAAGTAATTTGTCTAAAACCTATGCCATATTCTCGCTCACAACTGTGAGACAATAGGGTTAGCCAGGCAACCAAACAAAAAGGGTTTGCAGGGAAATAACGGATAGATGATATACCATTTCAGTAAAAGCTGGAGTTGATGGAGACCACACAAGAATTTGCCTGTCGTTGCCGCCAGTATAAAGTTCCTGAATTCCTGAACACTTAGAAATGGAGTCCTATTGAAATCCTCAACACATTGACAGTAAACACGCAAACTTACTTGGTCCCGTTCACTATAGTAGCAGCAATTCACAAGTTCATAGTGCCCTCGGAATGTTTGAAATGTTGTACCAGACCATAAATTGTATGCCTAAGCATATAATACAACGGTGAAATGTGAACCTCAAGAATGCTTCAGCAAACTGGCAAACTAGAAAACAGGAAGTCAGGAACGCACCTTGATGCTTGCCATACATGGAACAAATACAAGTGAAGGATCCTCAGTGACAGCTAATTGTAATGGCTTGCCTGTCTGCAATCGCATAGCTTCAAAATTGACCAGAGTATTGCAGCCTGAATCGATATCCCAGAGTTTTAAACGAGAATCAGATCCTACAGAGAAGGGATAGTACCTGTCTTAGTAACAGTTTTACTACTGAAAGTATGCAACAAGCAGCAATGTGTTCAAAATAGTATAACTCAAATTCACTTACCTGAGCTAAGAAGGTACATCCCATCTGTAGTTGTTCGTAATCCAGTAACAGCACCATAATGAGCTGTAGCACGGTTTTGACTGGATGACAAACCTGGATGCAATCTCTGTTGCATCTGTCCATGTGTTAGGTTTTGAATTTTGCACAAAGCCGGTGAGCTCTTCTTAGAAATGCCTGCCCTTTTCTGAGCTGAGTTCCTTGTGGAAGGTGAAGGTCCTAAGGAATCTGTGTGATCCTGCTTTAGTAAAAAAGTATATGATTCCATGTTTAAAAGGTAATCCTGCTTTAGCTCGGCCCAAAAAGGATGCAGTTCTGGGTTTGGATTAAGCCAAACTTCCTTAAGTTTGACTATGTTTATAGAAAATATTATTTACATTTATGACTTCAAATAGGTAATACTATGAAAATATATTCCATGTTTAATCTAATCTAATGATACTAATTAGGTACCAAAAATGTCAGTAATTTTTGTACAGATTTGTTCAAACTTAAAACTGTTTGACAACTCGAAAAGTGAGAGTTGCATTCATTTTGGGAAGGAGGGAGTATCAATTATTCAATTTATCTCAAGTGCAGTACAGAATATAGCAATATTAGAGCGCTAAGGCTATCTACATATGCTGAAACTTCAATGCTATTGAGCCCCAATATAACAGAGAGATTTGTAAACTACTTGAAGGTTAATAGCTCTAGAATTGTCGCCAGAAGATGGTAAGCAGCTCTTTAGTAGTCCCTTTGTTCTAAATTGTAAGTTGTTTTGGCTTTTCTAGGTACAGATTATGTCTAGATACATAGTAAAAGCTATGTATCTAGAAAAGCTAGAACGACTTACAATTTGGAATGGAGGGAGTAGCTTTCTCTGACCAAATACTCTCGAAAAATAATTACAAATACAAAACAATGGTAATAATAATAGGGACAGTGAACTTACATTCTCCACAGCACTTTTAACAAGAGGAGGCCTCTTTCCAAGTTGAGACCATGATTGATCCAGAACCCGAAAGCATCCAGCTCGTCTAATGTCCCAAAAACGTATTGCCCCATCACAGCCACCACTCATCAAAATCCACTCACTTGAGGCAGACCACTCCAAAGACATGATACCATCTAAGATGACGGGCGGAGATAAGAAGGTACCATACAAGAAAAACAAGCATATTTTCATCACTGCATTAGCACAAAGAAACTAACCACGATGACCTGACAACGTGTGGGTAAAGGCTCCAGAAGCAATGTCACACAGACGGACCTGAACATCTGCGGTCCCAGTAGCGATGAGCATGTGCGTTGTGCGACTGGAGACATGGCTGCAGTGTACACTTTTCCAGGCATCTTAAATTCCATGACAACCTGAGAAAACAAAACAGTGCACACAAAAATCAGAACATCCAGGATCACGAAACAGGGGAAGGAAACAGAGAAAGATGGGTAACTGAGAATGCAGGCACATACTTGAGTCGAATTGGTATCCCAAACTTTGACATACTGGTCAAAGGATGCTGTGACAAACAACCCAGTATCCACAGGATACCAAACGGCCGCCGAGACGGCGAACCTGTGGCCATTCTGGTGTTGCTTGTCCACAAGCAGTATGTTCCTGTGCTTCGCTATGAACCCGGCTTCGTATTCCGTCGCGTTCCACACATCGAACACAGCGGCCGACCCATCCGATGCCCCGGAGAGGAGGTACCTCCCCTCTGTCAAATCAACCTGACCATATGGTCAGATTATAAACACCAGCGAACGCGACTCACACATTGCATAACAAGGACCCCGTGATTCGATGGTAAATGTGAATTGATGTGCTTCTCGATGAGATTAGCAGATAAATCAGTTTCGTTTGAGGCAGTGGTTGCAGTAGTTAAGAATCTAATAGCGGCAAGGGGAAGAAAAGGAAGAAGAAGGGGGACCTGGAGCGAGTTGACGGCGCCGTGGTGCGGGGTGGCGAACTCCTTGCGGTTGGAGAGCGCGAGCGAGGCCGCGCGGCGCGCCCGGGAGTTGGCCTCGAACTGCCGCGCGCGCAGCTCCCCCCGCTCCCTCCCCCTCACCTCCTCCAACCACATCGAGCCTTCTGCGTCTGCGGCGCCTCCCTGCGCTCCCGGCGTGCCTTTTGCCTCTGCGGCGTCGACCGCGCGGCGGTGAACCCAGCGGCGAGCGCGTGGCGACGGTATGCGCGTCCGGATGTTTGGTTACTGCGCTGACCGGTTTGGAAGGGATCAGCTGTTACGGTAGGAAGCTTCCATTGAAATCGGCGGTTATATCCGGATCCTGATTCCGATGGATTTGTTTGGCAAGTCGCGCAAGAGGAAGGTCACGCCCCACAACGATTCGAAGCCTCGAGGAGCTAAGGGTTGGGTACCTGGAAGGCCGGCGGCGTATTGGCAAACGTTTGGACCAGAAACTCAGAAAGGCCCACAAAGCAGGTCCAGAAGTCCAGTATCAGAGTCGGCTTCTTTGTACCACGGCGGCCCAAACTTCATTACTGGAATAAAAAAAGTCTATTTAACCCCATCTTTCATACATGATCTACTTCACCCTTAATTATAAAACCATCTGTTTTACCCCTTAAACTTTCCAAAACCGTCTATTTTACCTTAACAGCGGTGCTACAGTGACGATGGGTTTGCTACAGTGCCGACGCTTTGAATTTCCTTTTTTATTTATTTTCGGTGATTTTTTTAAAAATCATAGTAAATCATAAAATAAAAAATCTAATTTTATTGGACTCCACATGAGTAGATCTACACAGTGAATATATAATACGGTATAATTTAGTACAATTTTTTTTGTAGCTTTAGATTAATTAGAAAATCCAAATTTTTATGTAATTTTGTAACAAACCCATCGTTACTGTAGCACCGTTGTCAAAAACCGTCCCAGGGTAAAATAGACGGTTTTGGAAAATTTAGGGGGTAAAATAGACGGTTTCATAGTTGGAGGTGAAGTAGAGGTTAAGTAAATTTTTTCCTTACTGGAATGGGTTGGAATTGGAACACAGACACCACCTTTTTCCCTTGCTAAATAAAAAAAGACACCGCCTTTTCCCAATCTTCTTCCCCTTTCCCTGACCCGACCGTCATCTAGGCCGATCACAGACACCGCCTTCTTCCGCCTCCGTTCCGCAAAAGCGAGACAAAAAAAAAAACCTCGGCGCGTGCCCTGCCTCTCCCTCCTCGTCGCCACCCACGTCCTAGCGTATTGTGGTCTGCTGTGGATTGGAGATCTGCCCGGACTTGGGCTGAGTTCCCCTTCCGTTGGTAAGAAACCCTAGCCCGCTTCGATGCATGTCTCTAAGATCGCGTTTCTGTTCTGCGAAATCTTTCTTTTGCTGGGATGGATGCAGCACACCGACCACTGCATCGGTACATCTTCCACTTTGTTGCCGATTTGTTTGGTTTCCATTCCATAAATTTCCGGGGTTCAACTGAACCCCCAGGCCCCGCATCGAGGACGTGCTTAGGGTTTCGGTACTCTCCTAGATTGTGACGTCAGCGACTTTTACGATTTGGAGCCTCGACCTTCAGGTTGTGATTGTTATTTGTCAATTAGAGCTGAGCATGCGTAATTGGCATTATGCTATGGCGGTGCATCGACCCCTAGAGCGGTGTCATTATGGTTGTTTCCTTGTCTTATATAGCATTAGTACTGTTTCCTTATGTAAAGCCCCTCCGTTTCATATACTTGAGAGGTACTGGGTAGCAATAGCATACTGTCATCAGTGCAATTGCATTTGACTTTAATTAACACTGGAACTTCTAAGCTCCGTTTATGATGTAAATGAGTGAATCCATGTTCTGCTGCATTAGATTTATTGAGTATTATGTTTACGTAAGTATTATGTTCACCCTTTTTGTTACTCCATTTACATGTTCCCAGGACATTCATTGAGGCAGCATGCCTAAGATAAAAACAAGCCGTGTCAAGTATCCTGAAGGATGGGAGCTTATTGAACCAACAATCCGTGAGTTGGATGCCAAAATGAGAGAAGGTATGCACAGATGGTTATTCATTTGAGGCACTCACTACTGATGTCAATTGTTATTTGCTAGCACAGGGTTGTTACTAATGCTTTGTCCTCATGCAGCTGAAAATGATCCACATGATGGGAAGAGAAAGTGTGAAGCTCTCTGGCCTATTTTCCGTATTTCTCATCAAAGGAGCCGCTACATATATGATCTTTACTACAGAAGGAAGGAGATATCACAGGAGCTTTATGAGTTTTGCCTGGACCAGGGTTATGCAGACCGTAACCTGATTGCAAAGTGGAAAAAGGCAAGTATCCTTCGTTCCATATTTGTTGTACATGGTCTACTGCTCAGTTTGTTTGATTTTTTTCTCCACAACATCCTGTTCTTTTTGGGGTGAGGGTGGGAGGGAGGGAGGCATATTAATATTCCATATATTCTGCTATAAGTGGGTAGATTTGTTTAGTGGAAATATTGTGTAGACATTGTATGTGCAAATTGCGTTATAGATATCTTACTCTATGACACTTCGTTTTTCTAAAGTTGTGAGATTTATATAGCTTACATGGTAGATTTCAGTAGCTACTGATGCATAGTATAGCTTTTCTGTGCACCAGAATGAGCCACTAACTGAAACTTGGAACCATTACTGTCCACCCCATTGACTGTCATGCATGCTGCGGTCCAGTCCATTGGTTTTTGTTTATGTTCTGAATAGGAGATTTCTAATGTTACCAGTAGCTGGATCTGGTCTATTTAGTTGACTGAAATGAATTTATCAGCCATCCAATATGTTCTTTTGGTTCCCCTTAATTTGAATAGTGGTGTCTTGAAATGTTCAACTGAAGATAAGTAATCCCTCGGGTCCCAACTCCCAAATACTTTGCTTTGACAAAAATCCAGTAAAACTTTTGAAACACCACCAGCTTTCAAAAATTAGTTGGGAACATCAAAATCATGTATAAATTTGTATGAGAATCTCCTGCATTATCTCATACATTTGTTAGATATTATAGATACTCATAGAAAAATACTTGTCAAATTTGCACCATGAAGATCATGAAAAGCCACTTCAAAAGTTTTATGTTGCATCTCAACCTTGTTAATGAGTGATCTGGCCTTTCTCATGTGTTCAAGATGAATTTATATGCTAAGTGCATTTGGAGCGAATTATATGTGATTGAGGCAAATATTGTATTGTTAACTTCGTAGACTACAAGAAATTACAACAGATCCATTTTGTCACTTGAAGATTCTATGTTAAAAAAAGGTTGGGGGTAGTCCCTTGATGCTTCTTTGTTCTGTTTCAATGTTTTGCTTTGATTCGGTTATGTTCCTCAAGTTTGTGCCTGTGCAATGCCTGCTGTGAAATATATTTTCATCTGTGCTTAATCTGGTATCCTGATTTCTTACTGCTACATTTCGCCCTCTTGCAGCCAGGTTACGAGCGCCTTTGCTGCCTTCGGTGCATACAGACACGTGACCACAACTTTGCAACGACTTGCGTCTGCCGGGTCCCCAAGCATCTGAGGGAGGAGCAGGTGATAGAATGTGTCCACTGCGGCTGCAGGGGTTGTGCCAGCGGTGACTAATCTTGTCATCATGTTGTTGGGCCCACGAACTCATCATCGCAACCGAACAACATGAGATGTCCCGTGAGCATGGATTGGCTGCGGTGATTAGCATGAATGTATTGTGGTAACTAGTGGGGAAGACTAAATTTCCTGACGTTTGGATGTTTCCAACTGTTATGTACTATATGACGATTTCTCGTGCCACAAATGCTGATTTGAAATTAGTAGCGCTTTTGCATTTTATATGAGTCTGTTAATTGGCTTCTTTTTATCATCAATTGCCCAGGCAGCCAGGCTAGTACATTGCCCGAATAACTCCCAGCCCCGGTTTTTGTTTGTCCGTATGGCTTCCTGCAGGGTCTTCCATGCGTGTGCATGGAACGTGTCTGTTTTACTACTGGAGACGTTTTTCTATGTTCGACGAGCTGACCTTCATTTGAATAACCCGATCGAAGTCTTTTGGAAGCCGCGATGTTTACCGAAGTATTGACGCGGTAATCTCTAGTCTAGAACTATCGGTAATCTCTAGTCTAGAACTAGAAGTAAGCGAGGCACTGACTGGCAGGCAGAGGCAGTCAAACAAAAGATTCCAACCGGAGTTGGATGGGCAACCAGCCGCTCATGTGCCATCCGACTCGCAGATCATTCCCCTGCCACGGCCGTCCCATCCCAGTAGCCTGGGGCGTTGGCTTCGGCTGGCCTCGCGTCGCGTTGCGCAAACACGGCGAGCTGTACCATGCGTGCCCGTCCGTCCAAGCAGAGCCCACGGTGGAGGAGCAGAGCGGGCGGATCTCACGTTGGTGTCTGGACAGATTCAGCACGTACCTAAACAACTGCTGGGGTACAGGCGTACAGCCCGTAAGACGCCTACTGGACCCGCGTCGAGTAGGTGAGGCATCGCGCTTGGAAACCGACGGCGCAGCGCGACGTACCGTCGCGGGGGGCGTCTTCCGTCTCAGTCAGTCGGTTGCCGATGGTCCTCGTGCGTGCGACCGGCGTGCATGTGTCAACCCGGGGCGAGTGTAACTACCGCGCGTCGGTGGCCTGTTGCGTCGCGTGCTCCTCCCATCCCAGGAAACCGAGCGGTTCCTTTTTTTTCAATGCAAATGGGCAGACAGGGGCGCTGCCGCCGCACAAGCCCACGCCGTGCCGGCGTCCCCTGGGGACTAGTTCAGTTGCTTCACTAGTGTAGTGTGTGGGCTGGCCCTGCGTGCGCGCGGCAAACAGTGCGGTGGCGGGCTAGCGCACGCCGGCCGCGCGCGGGGCAGATGGCGGACTCCACGGCCATGACCGTCGACTTCCTCCGCGCGCGGCTGCTCTCAGAGCGGTCCGTGTCCCGCGCCGCCAAGGAGCGCGCGGACGAGCTCGCCAAGAGGGTACGTGTCGTACTGGGGCGACGTCTCGCTCTCGCCACGCCGTCGCTCGTGCGCGGACCGCCTCTGACGTCGATGGCATTGATTGTGTTGTGTGCGTCGCTTTCAGGTCGCGGAGCTGGAGGAGCAGGTCCGGGCGGTGACGGCGCAGAGGCGGCAGGCGGAGCGGGCGGCCGCCGAGGTGCTCGCCGTCCTGGAGTCCCAGGGCTTTGGCGGCCACCTCTCGGACGTGGCGGACGACTCTGGCCACGACAGCGGCGAGGAGGACGACGGCAAGAGGCGCGGTGACACGGCCGGCGCCACCGGGGAGGAGGGAGAGGAGGAGGAGCCATCGGCAGCCAAGGGCGAGGCGGAGGACGCGCTGTCCGGGACGGCCCAGCCCGGCGGGCTTTCGTGGAAAGGCCGCAGCGTGAGCCCGCGCAAGGCCAGGCAGCTCAAGCAGAAGCACAGGCGGAGCTACTTCTACTTGCTCTCCTCCGATCCCTCGCCCAAGTACCGAGTGGGGCAGTCGTGCCGCAAGAACAAGAGGCGGGTGGAGCTGAGGTGCGGCCTTACACCAGAGTCGATGTTCAAATTCCATCCTTGCTGTGTCTTCTTACAACGTTCGTTTCTGTGTTCAGCGATGTCATCAGGTCGGTGGCAACGCAAGATGACGGCGGGGGCGGGGGGAGTCAGAAATGTCGGCAAGACGGGTCGGATATTACGGACGATGGCCAAGCTGACATGGACGGCGAGGTGGGTGGCGATGAGCGGAGTTCAGGGACCGGTGGTGGTGGCGGCCAGTACGTGATCAGGTACGAGGAGGATGGGGAGATGGAGAGGGTGCTAGAGAGGCAGGCCGAGCTGATAGGGCAGTACGAGGAAGAGGAGAAAGCTCAGAGGGAGTGGGAGAAGCAGTACAACGAGAACAGGAATGCAAACAAGGTAAGCAACTGAAAATTTAATTTTGTACTGGCGAATTATGATGTTCTTTTGTTCTTGGTTGCTACTACAGTACACTGTATATGTGCATCGTTGTAAAACGTGCACATTGTGTGAAGGCACTGATTCTTTCATTTCTGAATAATACTGCAGAGTCTAGTATCATGAGTGTAACCTCTGGTGCAATTGTTTATAATTGGGCATTTGATTAGATAAAAAGCTTACAGTCTTGTTCACTTTACCCATGTACTTTTGTTTTACAAATTTCAGGGTGGCGTCGAGTTAAAGAATAAGTCATATCAGAAAGATGCAGCCGCTAAATCAAATGTGACAAAACTCCCCATCACCAACAACCCGTCTGCTGAACGTCTGCCGAACGGTTCCCTTTCAGAATCGCTCCAAAACGGTGCCCAGCGGCGTGAAGCAAACGAAGAGCCCGATCATGGTTGTGCGCAGACGTTTTCCATTTCAGCACAAGAAAGCTCCAACAGCAGCACTGTCACAAGGCAAGATCAAGACCGCGGAGGCCAAATATCTGACGGCGATTCAGGCTACAGTACCAATGCTCGGTCTCCTAAGCACGACGCCGTCATCAGAGCACCATCAGATGGGAGCCCATCGAGTGACACCCTCAACAGCAAGGTCACCGACTGGAGCTCGTCACAGTTCCATGACTGCACAGACAGCCAGCTTGACACACAGTCGTCGTATCCACCGCCGTCATGCAGCATTGCACACATAGAGAGTGTCCTGCAGGCGCTTCAACGCGCCAGGATATCCCTGAGCGCCAGGCTGAGCAAGCCAGTTCCTCCCAGCCAGGTGACCCTGGCGCTCCCGGCGCCCGGAGATGAGCACAGAGAGTACGACGACCTGCCGGCCAACGATGACGACGAAGACTCGTATGGTGAAAAGCTCAGCGGTTCAAGTCCAGCACTTCAGGAGATGCTGGCGCTCCCGGCACCAGAGGATTACCATGAAAGGGACAGGGAGGATTCGCTGCTGGACAACGCTGCCACTTCCCATGTAGAGAAATCAAGCAGCTCGAGCCCTCCTCGTGAGGAGATGCTGGCACTCCCCGCGCCAGGAGACGATTACCGCAAGGAGATCGAGGATTACATGAAGATCCCCGTCGGCACTCCCGGTCTATTCCGGTTGCCCATAGACTCGTTTCCAGCGGATGAGAAAATGTTCTCAGGTACTGCCTGTGGTTCAGGGTTTAGTCTGGGAGCAGCGGCTCGCCATGCCACGAGCATTTTGAGCAACCCTGCTGCTTCTTGTGGTGCCGCGACCGCGACATCAGTTCCATCGGTTCCCAGTGATGGTTCTGGATTCCCATCAAGGCAGGGAATTGATCTTCAGGCCTCTCCACTTCTCTCGGTGCCTGCTTCTGGTAGGTGTATCAGCATGCCAACACCAGATTTTGCAGTTGGGACTGGAATTCCAGGACTTCAGGATCTGAACAGGGGGATGCCTCTTCCAGATGCAGATCTGTTCATCCAGTGTGGTATCGATTGCACCATCTCTAATAAGTGGATGTTGTAAGTTTTTAAGTACGCCATACGTCTTATGTTGATTTCTTTGCCTGTAGTTTGGGATAGCAGTCTATAGCATAGAAGCAGGAGTATGTTGAGCAGTAGTTAAGCAGCTATAGCTTTTGTTTACAGACAGGACAGCACCGTGAGTGTGACTGTGGTCTGGTGGTATGTCTGCAAAGGTTGTGGAAAGGCAATTTAAGATCAGCAATGATAAATCTGCCCCCAGTGACTAGTTTCAACACCTTTGGCCGAATTGGTCTCCAGTTTTGCTGCACTCCAGTGTCGCTCATGATGCGAGTACGCTGCTTGCGTCCTGGAGCAGCCTCACTAACCTTTTTGTCCAGCCCATACACACATGATGATGTTGGGAGCGGCAAGCGTGCTGCCCTGCCGCCACCAAGGCCAGCCACCCCCAGCCGTCATCATCGCGACCACCGCCCTGCCTCAAAGTCATCATCCGCTTGTCACGCACAATTCCGATCCGTGCGTGGCGCGTGCGGGTGCCGGCCAGCGTGCCGCTCGCCAGCTTCCATGCCCGTTTGACTGCTTGCGCTCCGCTGGCATTCGCAAGAGGATGCTAGTTTGAGCGGTCCGCCCTGCCGCGACGCGCGTTTGGCATTCGCATAAAAGTGGATCGCACGCTAGAGTCAGGATTTTTTTAGGCTGGGGACTGTAGCTTAAGTTCAAATACAGCGGTCCGCCCTGCCGTGCGACGTGTGCGTTTGGCTTTGGCATCAAGGTGGTTAGGTGGATCGTTATTGGAGGATTACCCATTCACCCGTGCGTGCCCGGCCATCCCGCGCGAATGCTCGTGCCAGCCTTGTCATCGACGTAGTCCACCAATTCGGTACAGCCTGTTGCTTCCGTGGTGGGTTCTTGTCATCGGCGTAGTCCACCAATTCAGTACAGCCACGGTGGGTTCCGGCCAGTCGGCCAACAGGCCAACGCTTTGATCTCTCAGATAAAGCGGGACGTCCTGGAGTACATACACTTCAAGCTCTGTGGCAGCGGCGCCATCATTGACATGCGATGCGAGTACGTGACCCACAGGCCTGAAGCCACAGGCCCACAGCACAAGCGTCCTGCTGGGTGCTGGCTAAGGCTAATCCAACCTATACGTTGATATCGATGAAGAGGCCCATGTAAATGAAACAGCAAAAATACCTACCACCTCAGTTTTTCTTATACGGAGCAAGATGAAGCCATGCCAAGCCCTAATGTTTTTTTAACCAACTAGCTTAGTTCATTACCCCCTTAAATTAATTATATGGTATTTTGTCAAAAAAATCATATGGTATTGCCATTTAGTTTATTTTTGCAAATCTTGAATCGATGACCCAAAACTAATCCAAAACACGTGGAACTTGCATCCCTTGACACGTCACAGACTCAAAGGTGACAATGATAATTTACGAAGCCGACCTTAAACATCCACTTATTAGAGATGCAAATTCAGCACGGCAATTTGAATTCTCAGTAGACTGCACTTTACGAAAGTGTGGTTCTGGAATGACTAATGGCCCCGTTCGCTTCGCTGAAAAAACAAGCCGAAACACTGTTCCGGCTGATTTGTTGTGAGAGAAAAATACTGTTCCGGCTGAAAAAACAGCTGAAAAGTACAGATTATAAGAGAAACGAACAGGGCTGACTACAAACCAACTGGATAAATTCCAGTGTACCTAAGTTAACACAAAACCAGAAGTAGTTCAGGTGTAGCTCAGATTTTTTTTTTAAAAAAAAAACTGGGCCTGTACAACAAATTGATATCCCTAAAACCAGCTAAATAACAGGACCGTCAGCGATGATATACAGCAGTCTCAAAGTATCTGAAAATTAGATACATTAGGATCAGGACATGCTAACTAACCTAAGGAGTAATATAGGATATACACCAGCTTGTCAAAGAAACGGTCAGTCATGATTCATGAAAGCTTGAGATGTTCATACTTCTCCATAGCTACAAACTACCCAAAATTGTGTTATAGGCCAACACACTTCACCCACCTGAACGGGCGTCCAATCTTGAAAGGAAGTTCATAGTCTTTGATGAAAGCCGATTCTCTCTTCGCCGCCTCTGCTTCTGACCATACATACAACCCCCGCTCTTGACGACCACCAGGGACTGTGTTGTCAAGTATCAGAGCAACCAGAAATGCAATGACCATGTTGAGTGAAAGTATCGTGTTGAGGACATAGTTCACCTGAAACGCAAGCAGATAACGAAATTGCAGTGAAATGCTTGGATATAACCAAGGCTGTCAAAATTACATGATGACAGGACGTTACATGCTCTATGTAGGATTGTAACTCTTTTCTTACAAAAAAAGTAAGGTATAATAGTGTCCTAGGCCCTCTAATAGGTTGGATTGAAAGTACAAGTCAATAATTTAGGCATTCAAATCTCAAGGAATAATCATAAAAATCAAGATGATGTTATATTTTTTTTAGCACAACATTGTCAGGAGTTGAAACTAAAAGGAAAAGGCAAAGTAAACTGAAGAATGTCGTTGAAACCACTTGACCAAAGGAGCATGAAGATCCATGAAAATGGACAGTAATAAAATTCACCATCCTTCAAGCTTAAACAACCACATATGTACTCTAGTACATCAAGCATCAGATTTCTTACTACTACTACAACTGTCATACTTGACTATTTTCAGTTGAAGCGCAAAGCTTGAACTGCCAAGTGTATAATTCCTTCAATTGTGTCTTCATATGCTATCTTTTCTTTTCATCGTCCAGTTTTTAATTTGAACAATAGAAAATCCCAAAACTATTCCATTTGTGCAGCAATAAAGCCCCCAAAATTCAATTCTCTTTACGAGCTACACTACTATTTATAGCGTTCAATTGGGTTGTTTATAGCTGAACATTATGTAGTCAGACCCCTCCAACAATCTATGTATTATCTATGATACTTCATTCAACACTCTGGAGACCCAATTTCACTTGCCCTTATCAGAGCAGGCCTTCCAAGAATTCCAAAGTCTCCAAGACTTAATTCAAGATCTGCAGGTCGATCAGAATTCAAAGGACTCCTGGGAATACATTTGGGGAAGCATGAACTACTCCTCATCAAAGTGCTACAACTTTCCTTACAAGAATATACAGCCCCCATCCCCTTTTCCCTGGGTTTGGAACTCCAAATGCTGTAACAAACTTAGTCTTTTCGTGGCTCCTCTTGATGGATAGACTGAACACAAGGAACATTCTGAGAAGGAAAAAGAACAAGCTTCAGGGAAACAACTACAATTGTGTTGTCTGCAGCAACAACATTGAAGAAACTGCATTCCATTTGTTCTTTAGCTACCCTTTTAGCCAAGCCTGCTGGCAACACCTTGGTATAAATTGGGACTTCACAATGGATTTCTTCCAGATGATGCAGCAAGCCAAGGTCCAACATAACAACCCCTTTTTTTATAGAGACCTTCATCAACGCCACTTGGCAGATTTGGAAGCAGAGAAACAACTTTATATTTGACAGAGGCCGGCCGTCCTTTGATTCTTGGAAAAGCTCCTTCTATGAAGAAGTTAGACTACAGACCCATAGATTCAGTTCTGTTAAGCGCTCTGTCTTCCTTTCTTGTACAGCTGCTCTAGTTTAGCTCTGCTGCCCTCCTCGGGCATGCTTCCCTTTTTGTTTCTTCTTGTATAGAGTTGTTAGTGTTCTTTTTGTTTAATAAAATGTTTACAGTGGGGGCCTCCCCTGCTGTATTTCCGCTAAAAAAAATGATACTTCATTCTTATCGATGCCAGCTGGGTGCTGGTCGATAATTTCAGCACAGGAACAAGCTTAGGCGGTTTGCCTTCCTAGTAAGCCAGTGACGAGTTGTGCAGTTGAAGGTCGGCCACAAAGGCTGGCTGGTGGGAGGGGAAATTAGAAGTTAGCACCAGAAAGGGGATGGGGAAGAGAGAGACACTGGGGGTGGTGACAGGGCCCACATGGCAGTGGCATAACTGCACGTGCAGTTACTGCACGGGAAACAATAGGGTGGAAGCCTGTGGCAGGCAAACAAATCAGAGGCTCCTAGGTTACAGTTTTTTATTTGCCTGGATTTTAGGCAATAATACCCACCTTTTAAACTATATTATGCACAAATAAAAAGCAGAATGGGATAAAGGATTCTGATGAAAAAAAATATTGGAAGTTTGAGTACATACCCCGCCAGATCCAGTGTGAACAGGTCCATGAGATGCAACAATGTATGCTTGAAAGTAAGTTGGCACTGATGAGTTTACGCTAGGATGTACACCGTACTGCTGGAAGTATGAAGGAACTGATAGGGACAAGAATAAAGCCAGCCCAACTATAATACTGTTCCTGGAGCTTCCAGTAGCACTGTAACGAAGATTGGACAAGCCAAGAGCACAGAGCATAGCCCACATGAAGCAAAGGAGAGCAGCAACCATAACATCAGGAATAGAAGCAATGAAGGCACCGACTTTTCCTACAAAGGGGTCATAATAACAGTGATAATAAGCAAGAAGTATGTCTGTTATGCTTTGATTATCTTTGCTCACAGCATGAGAAACTTTTCACCGAAATGAAAATGTAAAATAAGTTTCTTACCAATAATAGAAAGCAGTACAAGTAAAATAGCACCAAATCCAACTGCTCTTCGGCTACCCATTTTAGTCACAGCAATTGTGTGTACATTCTCTGTTATTGTTGCAGAACCAACTCCTGTACCCCAAAGACCAGCCAAGACTGTAGATACACCCTCAACACCAATACCTCTGCTAACAACTCCAGACGTTGGTGGCCGGGTAGCCACAAACAAAGATGATGCATGGTAGGAACCGACCTTAAGTAGAAAAGGCACAAACATATTGTTAGGAGAGACAAACTTGAATCATAAGTATACTGGAGTCAGACGGTTGCTTCTGGATTTTTAATATAATAATAAAAAGAAGACACTGACTTTACTAAGCTAGCTAATTTCCAGGAACCATTAGCAGAGCAAAATAAGTGCTCAAGAAGAAAGCCTATGTCAAGTTGATCATTATCGAGGAGTTTACAGATGTAGGTAATGTGCTACTGGGGCAGATCTAATCCAAATAATGCATTGCAGATTTATTATGAAAGGTAAAGACACCATGGAAAGGATTGTAGTTAGAACCAAACTTCAGAGGAATCATCAACTTACTGAATCAACAGAAGCAATAACTGATACAACACACATCACAAGGCCCATTTTCCAGCTAAAAACTGGAGTTCCCCATTGCAATGGATAGGGAAATCTGAACCAGGGTGAAGATCTTAAGGCATGCGAAGTGTCTACACGGCAAGATTTCATCCTCAATACATGCTTCCGACAAAAGGCTGATATATTGTTTGAGGCAGGAATATTTGCATCACAACCTTTGTAGCTATAAACTCCAGTTGCTGTGAGAACAAAAGCAACAGCCCATGTGATTCCTATTCCAAGAGGAACCTAAAGAGGCAACATCAGTAGTCCAGAAATTAGCCTCCCATACCAACCAGCATGCAGCACAGATCCACACATTCAATCAACATCATAACTTCATAAGCGAAAATCTTACCGCATAAATAAGAAACACTCTGTACCCAAATAACTTTATTTTCCGGAGGTACTGCCACAAGTTAAATAGATAAATGATCAGAAAAAGGACAAAAAAAATGCTATTCGCATTATATCACATTGTGTCTAAAAAGTGATTTCCTGCGTACTCACAAGTGCAAAAATAACCACCATCAACAACTGCAAAATTCCCATCTCTATACATGTCCCTATTTTTGTGAAACCATAACTGAAAAATGAAAGCCCAACAGCTGCAATTGTTGGTGAGACAACAACTGGATTTATCAACCTGAAATAAGCAGATGAAGACAAAACACACAAATAAGGTATATATCACCTGAGTATAACTACTTGTCACTATAATATGGTGAATTGTACAACAAAAAGACGAGGTGCATGAGTAATTGTATTCATCAGTTACAGAAACATGAAAGGATGTTTATGGCTGGGAAATAAACAGTTTACACTTAGAAACCAACACAAAGTGGCCAACCCATTTAAGTCATCAACATTAAACAATATGTCTCTGCATTGTTCATACTATATGGCCATGTGATAGATGGTTCCAAGCCCATGCAAAAGTTGTTATATACTTCAAATATTTGGCATTCAGAAATCAGAACAAAACTTCAGATCAAATCTTATATTTCCTAAGAGTGTATGCCACCAAAACTATTATTTTTATTCATTCACTAATAAGGCCAATCATGTTTTTGCATTAAATAATCATTTGCACACCTAGAGGGACAAGAAAACGGGTTTATATTTTATCAAAAGAAAAGGAGGTAAACCTAAGAAATAGTGACATGAGGCCTGTATATCCCAAGCCCACTTGGAATGCACCTCCAATTATTATAGCTCCCTGCAGGTGCTTCATTATGTGTTTAAAATTCTGCAATGAAATGCAAGTTGTTAAGCTCAGTCAGGACTGCTAATAGAGAACAGAAAACAAGCAAGCCTTGCATGACTGCAACATTTGCCATGTTCTAGGCATGCAACAACATAAGGCACATGAAATTTATGCATACATACATTATCATTGAGCCCAAAGAATTCTGGGGAGTTGATGATCGCGAGCGCAGGAGCCAGGTATACAAAGGATGGACCCTGCACAAGTGGCAGTCTCGTTCCAACAAACATGTGCAGCAATGTAGTCATCCCGGTGACGAGCAACACTGTGGACACCACTGCCGCCATGTCATCCTGACCCAAACAGGACCAAATATAACCTCTTCAGTAACAAACCAAATAAATCAGTGATAGTGCACAAGATACAACAAATTCGATTCCAGACTCACAGCCGAGCCGCCCATAGCAGGAACCATCACGAGAGGGATCAGGATGATTGAACCAACCATGGAAATGTAATGCTGGAATCCGTATACCACCAGAGGAACTGCAACGTAGCTTAAAACCGATCAAATTAATGCACCGCACATCATTACCCCATACCACACATCACCCGTGCACATTTCTCTTCCTCCGTCGGGCACTTACGCATTCCAGGAGTGTCACGGAGCTCGTACTTCACATGAGCCGGCCGCTCTGGCGCCTCCTCCTCCTCCTCCTCCTGTAGCCGCGGAAGCGGAGGCGCGGCCGCCTGCCCGTTCGGCCTTCCGCCTTCGGAGTCCCTCCTCCTCGTCCTCGCCTGAGGAGGCGGCGCCGGGGGATGCTGCCGCTCGCCATTTCCCGCGGCGGCAGGAGGGGCAGGGAGGGTGGAGCTGGGCCGGGCCGGCGGGCCCGACTCTAGATCGGAAGGGCGCTCAGCGGGTCGAGGGAGGGGGACCTGACCGGAGTTGGGGGCGGAAGCCGAAGGCAGTGACTCGCCGGAGACGCGGGACTGGAAGCCCGTGCGCTTAGCCCAGGAGAGGGGCTGCGCCTGTGGCTGCGGGGGCGGCGCCGGGGGCCAGGGCCCGGGACGCCCGCGGCGAGGCTGCGGCAGAGCGCCGGAGGTCGACGACATCGCGGGGGCGGGGCACCGCCGCCGGCGAGCGGCGGCGCTTGGGGAATGGTGCTGGGGAGCGGGGAGTGGCGGTGGTGAGGGTTTTAGGGGAAGTGTGGGTGTGGAGGGGCGAGCGGAGGCAGTGAGCTGGACTCCTCCTGGACGCGTACAAATCCGTGCGTGCGGAGGCTGATGCGGAGATTCTGCGGACACGGGGCGAGCGGGGCCCGCGGCGTCAGAGGACGTTGCGGGCTTTGTGCGGCGTGCGTTTGAAATCGGATAGGGTCAGGTCAGGTGTGACCGGTGTGGTTTTCCGGGTCAGGCGCGGGGTCAAGTGACGAGTGGTGCGTGCGTGACTGCGAGGTCGTACTCGGTCGCTGTTTGGCACTTGGCTGCTCTTGTTGCTTCGCCACTAGGCACTGGCACGACGCACGAATGCACGATAAGGTTCATGGGTGGGTTCGGCATCACCTCCACGCACTTTACGTGGTTATGATGATAAAAAAAATACCCCCTCAAACTCTTTTTTTTTTTACAACAAGTCCCTAATGAACTTGAGTTCTCAATAATCTTCCAACGATGAAGTCTTTTTTTTTTGTCGTTCTCTGTAAAGCAAAACCTTTGGGGATAGAGGGAAGTAGGCTGATTGTTGTTGGGCCCGATTCGCTGAGCAGGCCTAGAAATGTCTGGATGCACACGCCAGACAGATGCCCTAATTATAGCATTAGCGGATTTATATGGATTATTGTCCTTATTTGTTCCATATCATCAACGATACGAATTAGCTTTAGTATTTTAGCACATATTTTACCGGTTTTGAATTTTATTTTCAAATATGAGCACATTTTTTGTACACGTAGGTCGACTTTACCATATTTCAAGTGTCATTGTGTGGTTTTTTTTTTTTTGCAAAGTGTCATTGTGTTAGTGTTATGGCCAAAGGCGGAGCCAAGGATTTGAACATAGGGGGCTATTTAAGCCAACACCAATCATACATGATAAAATACATATACGACAATAGCATAGATAATATCTAGATAAAAGCTTATTTTATGATATACATAAAAGCTAAAAAATAAATGTTACAAAGAAAAAGGAAACAAACTCCACTCGATTAATATAATTCTTAGACAAAAAATATCACAATAATAATCTTCTTACACCTAAAAAGTACCGACAGGTTTCGTTCACGCTACCTTCGTGCGCGCGCCTCCGAACTCCAGATAGAAGAATACGAATACGACTCGCAGACTCGTTGTTCAATCAATTACGTACATAAATTGCCTGCCCGTCCAGCCGTCTACACTCGTGTGACGTGTCGCAACGCTGCTGTACAACTTGCGCGCACCACATGGCCGGTCAGCGGCAACCCATCGGGCACGCCGGAACGCCGAGCGCTCAGCCTCCCGTGCCCATCGCCAACGTCTACGGCAGCACGTCGACCCTGTCGGGCGAGACGGTGACCGGTTGACACGTGCTCAATGTCGCGGACTACATACTACTCCCAAACCAAGGAACCTGACGCCACCGGCTGGCACGTCTAGTCAACCACGTTCACCGTCGGAGGGTAGTAGGCCTGGTGCATCAAGCTCGCCTACGCCGGCACCTCGGCGACCTCCTCGACGGCGGGGTTGGGGCGGAGGTGACGCTCGAGTTGGGCGGGTAGGCGTTTGCCGCGCACAGGAGCGTGCTCGCTTCACACGGTCGTCGGTGATCCAGGCGGAGCTCTTCGGTGGCCGGTGGGCCAGACAAGGAGGATGTGGCAGCAACGAGCCGCGTGAGGATCCATGACATTGAGCCGAGCGTTTTAAAGGCCCTGCTCCACTTCATCTATACCGACTCGTTGCCTGAGATCGACGCCAGCGACAAGACGATGATGACTCGGCGTTTGCTTGTGGCTGCACAGAGCTATGAAATGAAGCCTATTAAAAATCAGGGACAGGATTGTTCAACACCAAAAAGAAAAAAGCAAGATTCTGTGCCGGAGACTCCCATATGAGTGAGGTCTGAGAAAAGAAAAAACCAAGACAAGTCTTCCCCCATAAAATCTGTGAAGAGAATGCTTCGAACCTACGACTTGGTGACTCAGTGAGACAACTCTCACCACTACACCAGGCCAACCTTTCGTGAAAGGATTGTTTAACACCATTGAAGAAATTAACAAACCTGATCAATGAAGGTAAATAATAACGTTCACTCTATGCACGAAATCTACACGTGATATCGAGTAGTATACGAATGCTTCCGAATATAATGGAAACTGTTCTAATTAATTATCTCTGTGTGTCTATTAAAAAATTAGGTTGGCCAATTCCTCAAAAGAAAAAGGAGGCCAAAGTGAATCGAAATTCTTTACAAAAGTCATCGAAAACCGGATCACGCGTCCGCGTCTGATATGATTATTATTAAATCTTTGGACATAAGTGTCAACAAAAATACATGTTTTCAGTGCAACGCACGGGGCATTTATCTAATATAAACAAAAGATATGAGAAAGAAAATCCTAAATAATATAGATGTGATTAAAACACTAATTGTCTTACCTTGTTAATTGAATTATTAACTAGCTAATTGATGAGGGAGCATTGTGGGGCATCAGCATGTTGGCGGTGCCCGGCGCCCAGGCCCCCTCAGCCCCAACCTCCCTCTGGTCATGGCCATCACATAGGCCCCGTTTGCTTCGCTGAAAAAACAAGCCGAAATATTGTTCCGGCTGATTTATTGTGAGAGAAAAACACTGTTCCGGCTGGAAAAAACAAGCTGAAAAAGACCGATTATAAGAGAAGCGAACAGGGCGATAAAAGTGCTAAGGCAACTGCTGTGATTTTGTTGATGCTAGGATCTAATGACTCAGTCTCTTTAGAGATGCTCATATATTCATAACAATGAACAAGGTGTTGAACCTAGTGTTTTGTACATGTCCCAGATATTATTAGTAATACGCGTTGAACAATCTATAAATTTACAAAGGTAAGCATAATTGCTAATTTAGTGTTATGGTACATATTATGTTAGCATGCTAATATGCTGATTAAGTTTGCATAATTCAAGGCGCTTATTAAGAAACCTTCATATATAGTCTTACGAGAAAAGATCTCTCGTATTTACATGTCAAGGTATGAGCGAATCACAAGATGGAGCCAATCAATGAATCACAAGATAACCAATGAAATACTCGGACAAGGTGATACAATTTTTTTTATCGAGGTTCACTTGCTTACCAGCAAGCTAGTCCCCGTTGTGGCGATTCGCTCACTTGGAGGTTTATACGCTAATTGGCATCACACGTCAAACCCGCAATCGGGTGCCGCACAACCAACTCAAGATGAGAATCACACAAGCCACGAGCAATCTACTAGAGTACCTTTTGGCTCTCCGCTGGGGAAAGGTCAAGAACCCCTCACAATCACCACGATCGGAGCCGGAGACAATCGCCAACCTCCACTCGACGATCCTCGCTGCACCAAGCCGTCTAGGTGACGACAATCACCAAAAGTAACAAACGAATCCCGCAGCGAAACATGAACACCAAGTGCCTCTAGATGCAATCACTCAAGCAATGCACTTAGATTCACTCTCAATCTCACAAAGATGATGAATCAATGATGGAGATGAGTGGGAGGGCTTTGGCTAAGCTCACAAAGTTGCTATGTCAATGCAAATGGCCAAGAGAGTGAGCTTGAGCTGGCCATGGGGCTTAAATAGAGAGCCCCCACGAATAGAGCCGTTGGGCTCCTCACTGCACACTACTCGGGGCAACCAGACACGTTGGTCGCGCTAACCGGACGTGCAGCCCCAGCGTTCGGTCGTTGCCAGCCGTCCACGTGTCCCCCATGTTCAACGTCCACCGCGAGATCCCAACGGTCAACTCAAATGTCGGCGCAGTTAAGTTGCGACTGGACGTGTCATCCCGAAGACCAGACGCACCGGTGCCAAGTTAGCTCAGCGTTCACCTGCGCCAACCAACCATCGACCGGACGCGTAGGTGCCCGCGGTGACCCATCGTCAGGTCGGTTCCAGTAAGCATCCAGAGGTGAAAAATCGTGACCGAACACGTCAGATCGCTCGTGACCGGACGCGCCGGTGAGTTAGATCAATTCTACCTTGCTCTGTTGCTTGTGTCAGCGTACGTCAGTGCCTGACCGGACGTACCTCAGTCGTGTCAGGTCACAATCACTATTTAGCGTTCAGACACAGCCAGAGAGCGTCCAACACTGCGTACTACTGACCGGACGTATGCCTCCAAGTCCGGTCACCACCTAGGCAGCATCCGGTCACGTCGGGAAGTCTCCTTCACTTCACAAACTTCTCCACCTTTGCGCAAATATGCTAACCACCAAGTGTTTCACCTTCTGCATGTGTGTTAGCATATTTTCACAAACATTTTCAAGGGTGTTAGCATGCCACTAGATCTAAATGCATATGCAATGTGTTAGAGCATCTAGTGGCACTTTGATAACCGCATTTCAATACGAGTTTCACCCCTCTTAATAGTACGGCTATCGATCCTAAATGTGATCATACTTGCTAAGTGTCTCGATCATCAAACCAAAAAGATCCTATCAAAAATCACCTTTTCCTTGAGCATTTTTTCTCTTTCTTCATTTCCATGTCCAAGCACTTGATCATCACCATGGTCACACCATCATCATGATCTTCACCATTGCTCCACCACTTAGAATAGTGCAACCTATCTCATGATCACTTTGATAAACTAGGTTAGCACTTAAGGTTTCATCAATTCACCAAAAGCAAACTAGAGCCTTCAGCACCCCTGTTGGGTCCCAAATGCTGCCCCATGTTTGAGAGCAAAGACGCGTCCGATATTTCGTTCAGGCGAAATGACGGAAAACATGAATAGAGGGGCGACAGCGGAAGTGACTATGCCTTATCACAATATCGCCCATTGTCCGTAGCTGATCCGGCCTTTTTGCTTAGGCAAAAGGAGTGGTGGCACCGCCGAGCGACGCAAGGCCCATTCGCTATGACAAAAGGAGAGGTTTGGTCCAGGTGAGCATGTC